CCTTCATGTAAATCTGAATTCCATCTATTATTTTCCTTTATTCCGAAGAACTTTCTTTAACATTTCTTACATTGTAGGTTTGTTGGTAAAAGATTCCTTCAACTGAAGATGTTTTTATTACACCTTCCCTGTTGAGGGTTATTTTCTCTGGATGTGGAATTCTAGACAGAGAAGTTTTTCTGTCAGCATTTTAAAAATGTCATTCCTTTATCTTCTGCCTTGTATTGTTTCTGATGAAAAGTCAGAGATCATTCTGATTATTATTCTCCTGTATTTAATTTGTCTTTTTCCTCTGGATGTTTTTAAATGTTTCTCTGTGTTACTGGTTTTCAGCAATTTGATTATGATAGATAGTTTTTTGTGTGTGTTTATCCTGTTTGAGAGATTCATTGAGCTTCTTGGATTCTGAGTTTGTATTTGTTATTGAAATTAGAAATTTTTCAGCCAATAGTTTTTCAAATATTTTTCTTTCCTATTGAGACTTTAATTGTATATATATTAGACATGTGATAATGTTCACAGATCAACTGAAGCTCTGTTTATTTTTTTCAACCTTGTTTTCCCTTTGTGCTTCAGTTTGGATAGATTTTATTGCCCTGTCTTCAAGTTCATTGATCTTTTCTTGTGTAGTGACCAGTCTGCTTTATGAGACAAATTCATTAAGTAAATGTTTTATTTCATCTATCAAATTTTTTATCTCTGTTAGTTACGTTTGGTTCCTTTTTATAGCTTTCATTTCTCTCTTTATTATGTTCATGTTCTCCTTTAAATCTTTGAGCATATTTATAACAGCTATTTTAACGTCTTTGTCCCCCAGTTTCATCATCTCTGTCATATCTGTATGTTTCTGTTGACTGGTTTTTCTCTTGATTATTGGTCACGTTTTCCCGCTTCACCTGAAAAATAATTGTTCATTCTGTGCTACATGTTGCCAATACTGTATTGCTGACTGGAATTTTGTTATCTTCCTTTGAAACGAGTTTTTTTCTGGCAGGTGGTTATTTCACTTACAGATGAGCTTGATACTTCAAAAGCTGGTTTTTAAGCTGTGTTCAGGCAGGTCTAGAATAGTTTTTATTCTAGGGTGAGAGTAATTTTTTTCTAAGGCATGGCCTTTCTGGGTCTCAACTGAATGCCTGAAGTATTCGTATTCACCAAGTCTTTCCTCTCTGGCAGGTGGGAACTCCAAAACATCTCTTAGTCTTGTGTGACCTCTGAATCTTCACTGAGCTGACAGCCCTCCAGTAGCTGTTTCCTGCTAGGCTTTGCAGAAACTCATTCTGCTCAAATGCAGTTTGGTATGCAGCCAAAGACTTCAAGGGGGCCTCTGTGCACATTTCTGAAGTTCCTTTTTATTGCACAATTCTATCTCCTTTTTGTTATTTTGCCCTGAAAATTTGAGCCACCTCAGAAGCCCTGAACATTCATCACTGCCTCATTGGTTCAGCAGGATGGCATGCTTTGGGCTCCACCTCTCTCCACCCTGGTCCAGAGAGCTGGAGTGACCAAGGGTCTCACATCTTGTCTTTTCTCATGAGTCACAGTTCTGCACCAGCTTTGTCCAGCTTTGCAGTTGAATGTGGCAGGAGGGCTGGTCCTATACCAATTATGTAAGTTTCTAGTTCTCTTTCAAAGAGGAAAAGCCACAAGAAGAGTTCCCCAGTTTGACTCCTCTGCCATCACACCTCCCATTCATTCCCACCTCCAGCCTGTGAGCACGTGATTCTGTTAGCTCTGAATGCATTTCCACTGTCCTCTACCTTGTGGAGGTTTTCTGGGAGACTGTCTCCCTGGTCTCTCCACCCTCTCTAGTTATATGATTACTTTTCTTGAGTCCTTATATTCTCTGAATATTTTTTGTTGTTGGTCTGGTTAAATTTTTAGCTTTCCAGAAAGAGAAGACCACAGTGCTTTGTTACTTTTTAGCTGTCACTTAGGTATAAATGTCGCATGTCTATTTCTTACAAGGGAAGCCAGTGTGAGACTCTTTCTTGGGGATGGCTCGGGTAGGAACTGCAGCGTGCTCATGTGCTAATAATGTTCCACGTGAGGTCACCAGATGGAGCAAACTGTTGAGTGAAATGAGCCGGGAGCCTGGGAAATTCATCCTGGCTCAGCCCTGACCCACTCTGTGACCCTGAAGTGGTGCCCATACCTCTCTGAGCCTCCCTGGCTCCATCCACCCTTGGGGCCAGTGGGAGGATACTATGTCAGGTAGCTTCGTGGCACAGTTAGGTCCCTTGTGCGCCCCATCTTCAATGTGCTCTACTTCAGCCGTGCTGAGTTTTACTCTGCTGGCCATTCATGCCTCAGGTCACAGATTCCACGGTGTGCGTTGGGGACTAACTGTTTCAGGGGCTCTGCCAGGCACTCAGTGCGTGGCGTGCCGAACTGGCAGAGTTCCTGCCCCACGGAGCGGAGTGCACAGGCCAGTGGGGAAAGAGCCATCCATCAAAGGTCTCAGCGTGCGTTGTTACTGACGGTTCCCGTCAGTTCTTGGACGGGAAGCGGGAGGGGACTGAGATGAACGGCCAGGTGGGGAGGTATCGGGGACGACTTCCCAGTGAAGTGATGTTTACGTGTAATACTTAGGATCAGCAGTCAGAAATTTGAGGGAAGAATGCTCCAGGCCGAGGGAACAGCATGTGCAATGGCTGTGAGCTTGGAGGAGAAGCAGGTGTTGTGGGAGGTCAGACGGCGAGGTGAGCGGCCAGTCCCAGGCTGGGGAGGGTTGGAGCGCACTGGTGATACCCCCAGGTCGTGTGCTCCCTGAGCTCCCTGCCCCAGGGAAAAAAGGGGGCGCTGTCCCGAGGAATTCCAGCATTCTCACAGTAGGAATGGTAGGCCATGGCAAGGTCTGGTTCCGAGGGGATCCTAGAAACCGTTCTGCAGGGGTGGGGACAAAGGATCAGAGGGAAAGCAGCTCGCCGGGACTATTGTTAGAAACTCTGTTCCTTGTGCCAGGTTGCCAGGATGTGTGGGTGAGTTCCACGGGGCAGCAGTGGGATTTGGGGATGCGTGACCTTGTGCAAAGGTGTCCCCGAGTAGCTGGCACACTCAAGCTCCTATCTCATCCCTGCACTAACATTCCGTGTGGCCATAAACAAACATCTTATGTCTGTAGCCAGAATCAACCTCTGGGCCTTGGTTTCCTTACCTCTAAAAAGCCCCAGCCATAGCCGCTTACACTGGGAGAGCAGGCTGCCATTCAGGGTGCTTCTCTGGCTTCCCTGGACTCCCACAAACCCCCGCGAGGCCGGCCGTGCAGGGACGGGCGTCCATGGCTATCACAGTGAGCCGCTCGCTGTGGTCGCCACACTGTGCCCGACACGGGGACAGCAGAGAAACCGGAGATGGACTCTGGACACCTATCACAACACAACTGCGTAGGTTTATTCCCTGGCTAAAACAAAAGTGGAAACTCTGAGGCGAGCCGTCCTTCTGGTTGGACTCTGGGGCCTCTGAGTGCTTGGCTGGACAGAGGAGCGAGAGTGGGAGGAACGCAGGGAAGTGTCCTTCCCACCGGGCCTCAGCGCCTGGATCAGAACGCGAGAGGCCAGAGTGGGAGTTAAGGGAAGAGGGACGGACACCTGTGTCCTCCGCACACTCAGGCCATGGGGATTTCCTTCTGGGGCTGGGGTAGGGCCAGCGAGGGCTTGTTCAAGGGGCCATGACTGAAGAGCTCCCCAGCTCCTGGCATCCGGCCACCACTGTGGGTGGAAGAGCGGGTGACCCTCCCAAAGGGGCTGGGGCCAGCCCTGAGTCCCTGGAGCTTCCCTGAGTGCCCCAGGGCAGTGATCAAAGAGCGGCAGGGTGGTCTTGTGTGACCTTGGGCAAGGCCCCTGAACTGTTCCCCGTCTGCCAGGATGATGGGCAGAGCTTGGGGGGTGGGGACGGGCCTTACATTTGGGTTCTGGAAGCAGTGGGTGGAGTCTTAGATGCCCAGGACAGATGCCATCCTAGAGCCAGGAGCTCATGGGGCCACCTGCATCCCAGGGGCAGGGAGGCAGCACCCAGGGCTGCTCTAGGCAGGCCCCGGCTGTGGCCAGGTACTGAGGCAAGAGGGTGCCCCACGTGTCATTAACCCCTGGGGGTCTCTGAGCCCCTGGGCAGCACCAGCGGTGCCGTTCCCCTTGCTGCCTGGTCCTGTGCCTGCCTCCAGGGGAGAGCTGCAGATGTCCTGTGATCTCTGAGCGAGGGTACCCCTGCCCCCTCCTCTTTAGTTGTCGTCGTGGGAGTGTGGCCAGGTTCAGGGGTTTGCCACCACTGGTGGTGGCTCAGGGCAGCATGAAAGAGGCTGCCCACTGCCCACCCAAGAGCGCCAGAGGTGGAAGCCACTCGAGAGCCAGCCCCCAGTTCCCAGTGACCCCAGCTTCTGCATAATACTCAGGGAAGAGAGACGGGGCCTGAGTGACAGGGCCCCAGGCTTCCCCAGACATCGGGGGACAGCTGCACTTATCTCGATGAAAGCGTCAGCCGTTGGGTTCAGCACTGTCCCCCGCAGGTGGCAGTTCCCAGTCAGGGCCCACACGGTGCTACAGAGCCTTCTCCTGTGCTTCCCCACCCCACCGATCAACCCCGCCTGCCCCTCCTGTCTGCTCTCTCTCATCACTTCTGAGCTGCCTGCCTTTGGAGGAAAAGAGGCTTAAGCCAACATTCTAGAAGATGCACTTGGGCCTGGGATACTAATGCAGGTGCCCTAGGCATGGGTCACAGGCTGAGTTCTTAGGCCGGTCAGGGGTTACGAGTGACCTACCCAGTGGGCTGCCAGTGGCCTCCAGGTGACTGAGTGTGAGCTGGTGGCCAGGCTTCCCTCGAGAGGCTGGGGAAGGCTCTGGATCTCAGGCCCTGGGTGGAAGCAAGAGTGCTTGCTCTCTGTGGCATGAGAAGAGGTTGGGCAGAGCCAGTCCCAAGCCTCAAACGTGGGGCCTGTGGCCACATTAGCCACTCGGTCTGGCTGCTCCGAAGGCCCTCGGGGACTGAGAGCGTGACCCTCTCAGGTACTGCCCCCGGGTGGGAGCCGCCGGACGACCCGGACACCGGCTCTGAGTGCTCACATCCAGAGGTCTCCCCGTCTCCGCGCTTCGTGGCAGCGAAGACCCAGGCGAACCAGTCGGGGAAAAAAGCTCCGGCCTCCGTGGTCCGATGCGCCACCCTCTTACACCGCACCCCTCCAGCCACCCAAACCCAGACGTTCCGCACTCCAAATTCGGGATCTCCAGCAAGCAAGGCAACTGCAGGTACCAATGGCCTCCGTCACCCCACGCTTCCTCCACGCCCGTTCTCGCCACCTGCCACAGCTGTGCCCGGGGTCGCTCTTCCCTCACAAGAGCAAGACAGGAGGTCCCGTGGTGCTCTGGGACAGATCTGGGGCCCAGCTCTGGCTCTGGCTGCCACCTGGCCTCTCTGAGCCAGGTTTCCTCCCCATAAATCAGAGGGGGTTTACGAGGGTACTTGCAAACATTTTTAAGTAATGGAATATTTTTTTCCCAAATCATGGCCTAATGGGCCTGTTTTATTTGGCCTTCTCAAGGTTTAAAAAAAAATTTTTTTTAATTAACATTTGAACATTAGATTTTATGTAAAACTTTTGATTTCTAGCTGAGATTGAAAAGTCAGCTCTGGCCGTCCTGGGCCCACTTTGCTAAAGGGCCGCAATTGGCTGCCTCCTTTAATAAGGCATGTGTTCTCCACTTTTCCAAAGTCCCCACCTCTCCCTACTGCCTCCCCAACACAATGGCCATGTGGCAGGTGTCATTTCTCATTGTGATCACACTGTTGTCTGTCTTACATCCAGCCCAGTTCATCCATTTATGTGCCCTGCCTGGACTGTTGGCATGAGTTTGCATCTCCCACCTTTCAGAAAACTCGAACAAAAATCTCACTTCAACAAGGATCTGCTCTCCACGAAACAGGATGGTTATGGCTGACCTCGAGCCTTGGTTTCTTGGCCTTCCCCTACCTAGCACTACCCGTGAAACCCCTCCATGAGGGATAGAACCATCAGGAAACTGGTGGCTGCCAGCTTCAGCATTTTCCAAGTCCACGCAGCAAAGGGCTGTGGCTCCAGCAGAGTGAACAGACAGTAGGAAGTTCCCAGCAGTCATTTCCTCTGGGAAACCTGATCAGACAGACACGCTGTGCTGAGCAGCAGCTGTCAGGAATCCTTAGATTCGTACTTGGGTGGAACAAGTCTCAGGCCACCCGCCTGCGATGTGTGGGTTGTAGGGTGGAGTGCTGGTTGGTGCTTCTGGGACTGTGAGCCTTTCGGTTTGCCCTCAGGAGACCAAAGCCACTTCTTGAATATATAAACAATCAAGCTGAGAACTCAGGTAAAGGAACCGCTTGGTTCATCTAGGGACTAATGACCAAGCTGAGTGGCTAGCTGTGTTTGCCTTTACTCTTTATTTCAGGGGCCTAATTTTGGGTAATAGTGTGGTTCTTTGAAGATGTGCTTATTGTGCTTAGATCTCCCAAAAGGATAGTAGTTAATCAGCCTTGAAGGTAATGGTTTTTTTAGGTACTCTGTTGAGAAACTTCAGTAACCGTTGGGCTTTTGCAACAGTAGTCAAAAATTAAGTTAGAAACAGACTGGTCAGGACGGTGTCATTGGTGGTAAATATTGGCTCAACTAAATAATGGAGTCATGGCTTTTGGATCTTGCTTTTACTCTTGTGCTTTGTGGCCAGGAGTTTTTATGTCTGCAGTTTCTGCAGAGAAATTGCAGGGGCTGGTGTGGTATGTGGCAGGTCTGGAACCTTGGCGTCTCCAAGGTGAGCACCCAGCGAGCTATGGGGCATGCCTCGGGCTGTTCCCTGTGCCTGGGAAGACGTGCGTGGTGGGGGTCCCATCTGGGCAGGTCAGTGGGCACCAGGTTGGGAGCAGGAACCTGCAGGGCATATGAGATGGTGCATGCTGGGGGTAGAAGCTGTCACTGCCCTCATTGTCCTGGAATGAGTGGCTCTTTGTGTGCTCATGAACATTCCGGTGCGTGGGACCTCACCTCTGGTCCCGCACGTTGGTTTTCAGCCAAAGGCGCTTGTGGCAGGGAACGCCGTTGACAGTTTGCACTATCACCTGAGCAGCGGAGACTAATTTAAGAGTTTGCATCCTCAGTTGTGCTGCCAACGCGTGGATCAGAGCAGAAATCCTCTGTAGATGGGTACCAGTGTCCCATTTGTACACAAGGATTAGGATGGAGAAGGGAGTCACTTCCATACCCCAGACCTTTTTAAAAAGGCAGCGTCTGCCCCAAGAACGAAGCCTTAGTCTGCTATCTTAGAGGGTTAGCAACACATCCAGCCCCAGGAACTTGATAATCTCACTCTTTCCTATTTTTTCATCTGTGAAATGGGAATGACAACATAGCCCTCCTAGGGCTCTTGGGAGGATTAAGGGAGAACATGGACGTGTAAAGTATCTGAACCGGTGCCTGGCACATAGTAGGTGCTCAGTACACAGAGCCCTCCCTCCTCACTCCCCCTACTGCGGGGGCCCAGGTGGAGAACTGAGCTTTCTTTGCCAGTTTACAGATGCCGTCTTGAGGCCCTCAGTGGCATTTTACAGACACGTTCTGAAGGGAGGGTCGTCCTTGTGAAGTGAGCAACAGCCTCTGCGGGAAGGAGGCCCTGTTACTGGTGGGAGGCCTGGGATTGAGCAGGGCCCGGAGGAGCTGCCTCTGGCTTCCTTCCCCATCGTCCCCTGCGACCATCTGGAACCCCCGCCCAGCATCTGAGCACGTTCCCTACTGCAGTAGGGTGGACCGGCATGAGTGGCATTTCCCAAAGTGGCTTCCCAGGATCACCAATTTTGTGGGATGTTATGGAGTCTAATATTTTTAAAAACGGGGTTCTGTAGGAACTCCTGTTATGATTGGGGAAGGGTATGTTAAATAATGCCAAATGGGTCTCCTTCCAGTTGAACTTCTCAGAGCCTTTCAGGTCTTTGTGCAAGTTGTTCCTCCTTAAGAAAGGGGCAGGTCAGCCGCACACCCCAGTGTGCCTTAGTCTCCAAGGCCTCCATCTCCTGGGTTGTCCAGCATCCGGCAGTGCCAAGAAGGTGTTCTGTCTCAGTACCTTCTGTGGGGGAGGGGGGGGCGCAGGGGTGCTAAATTCGTGGTCGTGGTGTCCCACCTGGTGGGACCTTTTCTCTGCATCGTGGGGGTTTCCAGAGAGCACCGGGGAGAGGCTGAGCCCCTTTGGAAGGTACCAGATTGTCAGCAGAGGCATCCCAGATGTCACTCGGGGAGCCGATCCCTTCACGAGTGAACTCTGACCAGACCTGCCCTGGGCTTTGGCTGCCCCGGACTCTCCCAGTCATGCCTTTTGTCCCAGGTTGCCCTCCCTGCCACCAGGGACCGCCTAGCTGATGGAGCTGGAATCAGCAGAGCCAGGCTGTCATTGTCCCTGCTCCTTTGTGGGGGCTGTGGCCACAGCACCTGACAAGAGTGGTGGGTGGTAGATCCAGATGACTCGATGTCACAGATGTGGGAGACCCAGGCCCATCTGCCGTCTGTTGTCTGGCAAGATTTCATCTGTGTGCTCTCGGACAGGTCACCCCACCGCCACCCCTTCCCTGGACCTCCTGAGCACTCCTGGAAGGTCTCTTGGGGCCCCGGCAAGGGATCAGGCCACTCAGGTGGGCCTGGCGAGCTAGGGAGGTCTGGCTTGGGGTCCCAGGACCCTCACTCTGCCCAGCCCGGGGGCCACCTCCTGCATGCCCCTCCCCTGAGACCCGGCCAGTCACCACTGTTTTCTCCCTCCCTCCCCTGTCCCCCACCCAGCAGAAAGCGCTTTCAGTCGCAGAGTAGAAGGCAAAGCACAAAACCACTTTGAGGAGACGAACAGCAGCTCGCAGAACTCCAGCGGTGAGTGTGCCCACGACCGCCATCTCCTGCGGCCACTGCCACCTCCGCCCGCCCCGCCGGGCAGCAGCACAGGCCCTCTGCGGGCTGGGGTCTTGGCGGCATGCAGCGGATCTTGCTGGGAGGAGGCTGGGGGCTGGGGATTAGAGGGAGGGGCCTCGAGCATCACGGGACTGTGGCTCCCCTGTCTCCAGTGGAGAGAGGAGCTGCCCTCTCCCTGTGGCCTGCAGCACTAGCTCAGCCAGCCCCAGATGGCTGGGCCTAAGAGAGCCATTGCCGTGTTTTTAAGGTAAACGTCTCAGCTAGTTTCTTTCCTGGAGAGGCAAAGGGGGAGCAGTTGAGAGAGCTCCAACTAAGCCAGAGGGCCTGCTTTGGACCTGGGGCCATTAGAACAAAGGTTCCCTTCCAGCGCCTGCCACTCCAGTGCGTCCGCCGAGGTTCCCGGTGGTGTTTGGCGCCCCCTGATGGCTGCCGCGTGCAGGACCTCGGCCGAGCCCGCGAGCCTCTAGAACAGCAGCAGAGGGCCGCTCTCCCCACCGGACCCAGTGTCTGCCTGGCAGGGCCGCGGGTGTGTCCAGGAAAGGCACAGCGAGCCAGTCTGTACAGCGAGAGCCAGGGCAGGCGAGGAGAGGAGTTCTGGCATTGGGGTCACACTGGATTAAAGCGCCCACTCACATTCTTGCACAGATGAAGTCGAATTCACCCACTGTTGGGCATCAGCCTGGGACCAGGCATTGTGCTAGGCTCTGCCCGGGTATAGACAGGTGACGGACGAGGCTCCCCTGTCAGGGCCTTGATGAGACACCCAGGAGCACAGACTTTAGCGTGGAGGCGTCTGCCCAGCAGGAGGAGCCCACCTTTGGGCTCTGGGCCCGTTTGAACCCCAGCTCTACCACTTACTAGCTGGTGACTGAGGCCAGTGTCTTCATTTCTGCTCTGCTGTGAAGCGGCTCGGAGAACACGGCCACACGGTGCTCACAAACATCTAGCAAGTGCCCAGAACAGATTCCACACTCTGAGGTCAGGGGTGTGTGTTTTTGGTGGTTATTGTTGGGTTTTTTGTTGTATTTGTTTTTAAGTAAGCCAAGTGATTTGATGACTGCCCTGCGGAAGAGGGTGAGATTTTAAATGATGTAACCACATAACCTCTCCAAGAGACGGGCCTCAGAGGGATGGAGTGACTTGCCCAGGGCCACGCAGGAATAAGTAGCAATGCCGGGCCTGGAACCGAGGTCCCCGGGTGTGCCCTGTGCCCCCAGCCAAGCCATGCTGCACCCCCTGCGCGCCTCCCGCCACCAGAGCTGACAATCACAATTGGGAACAGGGGTACGAGTACTGCTGCCGGTAGCCACCATTTATTGAGCGCTTACTATGTGCTTGGCGTGTGTTCAGAGCTCTGTGTGTCTTATCTGTCTCCATCCTTACCACAGCCCCGTGGAGGTCAGTGTTACTGTGATCCCCACTTTTCGGATGAGGAAACTGAGGCTCAGGAGAGGTCGATTGTTGTCCCAGGCTCCCAGGTCGTAAGTGGTGGAGCCGGGATTCCCTGTCTGGTCCATCTGGGCCTCGCCAACCTCCAGCAGTGCCAGGAAGCGAAGGGGAGAGGCCAGCGAGCAGGAGGCCTCAAAAGCACAGCCCTCCTCGCCAGCTGCTCTGGCGTTTGGCACGAAACACTCCCGTCCTGCTGCCAGAACCCAGAAGCAGCTTCCAGCTCCCTGTCCTGCAGTGAGCTGCCACATGTGGGCATCTGTCACCACTTTCCCTGTGGCCTTGCTGTGCAGAGTTGGGGTATCCTAGAAGGACAGCCCTGCCTGGTATCCCCAGCACCCAGGGGAAAACTAGGATTCTCTGAAGGACGTGGCCTCCATGTCCAGCCTCCCCCGGCCTCAGCCCAGACTGTGAGCTGCCCCTCAGCTGCTCCCCTCTTCTGAGAGCCCCATCTGGCTCCCTGGTTAAGAATGAAAATTGTAACGATCATCACAGGACAGCAGAACTGGAAGAGACTTAGCTAAACTGTTTCTCTTTTGCAGAAACTGCAAGTCCCCTGATTTCCAACCCTTTCCCTCTCCTACAGAGTAAGTGGTGGTCCCGTTGGGGGGCTGGAGAGGGCGAGGCAGGGCAGGGAATGAACTAAGCCGGCCACATGCAACCAGAACCGCCCCAGAGTGTCTGACCTGGGCTGTGTGCAGCGAGCCCCCGGCCCCGCCCTCCCGGGCACACCCAGCAGCTGTTAGAGGCAGGCGGAGGGCCCAGCCCTGGGCGGGTGGAGGAGTTTGCACAAGGAGGGGCAGACCCCTGGCAGGCAGAGAGCCACCCCCAGCCCCTGCAGGAACTCGGGCCTTCCCAGTCATGGTCCCCGGCAGCCTCAGGACACCTCTCCCGAGCCCCGTCTCAGCTCTCCTCTTCCCTCCGTTCCCTCACTCTGCTTCCCACCCCTCTGGCTTTTTCTTCTTCCTTCCTCTCCTCTGCCCTCTTCTCTGCCAGGTGTGAGTCCTGAGATCGGAGAGAAGGCTGGGGTCCGTGTGCACCCTCGCTCCCCTCCACACCTGCCTTCTCCCCTCCCACCCGCCCTCCTCTCCTGTTCCCTTTCCCCGCCCGGTCCCCATCCCTCCTCCCTTTCTGCAGCCTTCTCCACTCCTTCCCCTTCTCTCTTGCTGCTTGTTTCCTCTCTCCTCTGCCCTCGTGTCTGTTACCTTGGCTTTCATTCATTCATTCACTTATTCATTCATTTGTTCTTGTGTTTACTCGGCAAATGGTGACCTCCGTGTGGCTCCACAGGCAGAGACCTGGGCTGTGATGCAAATGAGACTCAGTCCCTGTCCTGACCAGCTCTCGGTCTTTTGTCCCCCTGCCCCCATCTCCGGTGCCCAGAACAGCAGCTGGCACACAGTAAGCACTCAATAGATGCCCACTCGATTGAGTTAGATGGTCTCTCTCTGCACGACTTCCTCTCTCCATCGCTCCTTCCTCCCCGGCCTCTCCCTCAGGGGTCTAGTGAGCAGGGAAGCAGACAGGCTAGACCCAGAGCCCTGAGCACAGGGACCCAGTGTGTGTTTGGGCTCCTACTTGCAGCGCTGCCTGCGGCCCAGCAGAAGGGCGTCCGCCTTGGGTCTGCCCCTCATGCGGCTTCCTCGGTTCCCCCCGCAGAACCCTACACCTGCGGCGCCTGCGGGATCCAGTTCCAGTTCTACAACAACCTGTTGGAGCACATGCAGTCCCATGCAGGTAAGGGCCCGGCGTGCACTGGGGATGCCGCTCCTGTCCCCTCCCTTCCCCAGTTCCTGCAAGTGGAAGAGACGCCAGCCTGGCCTGAGGCCCCTGGGGAAGGCCACTGGCTCCCGGAAAGTGGTCACAGGACATGGAGCCTGCCCTCAGGGAGCTCCAGCCAGGCAGTCTTTGTCATAGGGTGGTCTTTGCCCTGGGCGCAGCACAGTCCCTGTGGGAGCACAGAGTGGGAACAAAGTTGATTAAAGAAGGCTTCCTGGACTTGGTGGCTCCTGGGCTTGGTCCTAAAGGCCAGCTGGGAGCTAACTTGGAAAAGAGATATCCAGGTAGAAATGGAATGTGTTTGAGATCAAGGTGAGCAGAGGCAGAAGGTGGAAGTGGAGCTGTGCGGCTCGAGGGACATGGCCCGTCTCAGAACAGCCTCGCCCATCGCAACACTCCATGGCCTCCAAAGCAGGTGTCCTTAAGCTCGAGCACACGTCAGAACCCCCAGGAGGGCTTCACAGATTCCGAGGCCCCACTCTGAGGTCTGGGGCGTGGGGGGCTAGGTTTTGGGTTTACGAGTTGTCGGGCAGTGCTGATGCTGCTGCTCTGGGGTCCGCACTTTGAGAACCACTTCTCTGCAGCCGCGGGCTCCGTCGTGTGCCACCCGGGCGACGTTTTTACTGAGTGATTCCCCACGCGTGACCCGGGTGTCCATCTCTGCAGCCTGCAGCATCAGCTCCCTCACTGCGTCCCGCCCAGCCTCTAAACCACACCTCCAGTTTGGGGTTTTTGTCACAGCAGGACCCACCTCCTGGTATGTCTGTTTTGATCAGGGAGACACTATTTGTTAAAACAAATAATCCTCAATTCTCAGTGGATTAATGTACAAGCCATTTATTTCTCACTCACGTTACAGTCTAGCAAGCGACCTATTTGGGTGGCTTCCACATGGTGATTCAGGGATCCAGGCTTCTTCCTTCTTGTGGCTCCACCCACACCCAGCTCCTCGGAGTCCTCTCTCTCTGGTGGGTGGGGATTGAAACTGTGGGGAAGCCACAGTGTTTTGCTGCTTCAGAGCACAAGTGACACATGTCATAGATGCTTAAATTCCAGTGGCAAGAATTAGTCACACGGCCAGCCAGAATCCATAGACAGAAGTCTGTCCAGAGCCACTGCCCAGGGACACCAAGACACTCCACAAAGGGAAATTAGCTGTCCCTCCCTCAGGGTAACCTTCTAGAGGCATTAGAAATGACTCTTGTCTCCGTCTCTCCAAGACCTCCAGGTCTCCAGCTGCCCTCCTCACACCAAGCTTCCCATGTCTCCTGCCTCCCTCTTGCCTTTGTCATCATCCATCCCTCACCAGGGAAGGCCTTGAATGACAGCTCAAGGCATTTGGACTTGACCCTGTGGGGAGCCAGCAGCCCCACGCTAGTGGCAGCAGTGGGAGGCTGCTTGGGGACCACAGCCTGGACATATCTCTTGGTCCTGAGACTCCCATAGCCCAGCCTCCTGTGTTCCTCCTCCGAGGCCTCCTGCACCCCCTCCCAGCTTCTGGAAGCTGATGGGTAATGAGGGGTAGGGTCTGGGTGCCAGTGCTTTCCTGTCGCTCAGGCAGGTGGAGGACCAAGGCCATTAAAATGCACCTCAAGGCTGAGCCTTGAGGTGGCCCCACCTCTCCCAAGCATCTTGACTTGTTTTCCACGAGGAGCTGTGGGCTGCTTTGTTCTGGTCCGGCGCTGCCAGAAAATGCCTTGCCCGCAAATCCAGTGCAAAGCCAGGCGAATCCCAGCCACACTGAATCGGGATTAAAGGATTGGCTCCATAGAGAGAAATTAAGCGTCATGAGCCACGAGGTTCACAGCGCCGCCGATAAGGAGGATCAGCCTCGAATAACACCAATCTCATTATGAGGCTGCTGAATAGCACGGGGTAATTCCCACTAATAAACTTCCTTTCTCTGCTGTAGGGACCCTGTCTTGCCTTGGTGACAATTGAGGAGCATGCTGTGGCAGTAATAGTACTAACGAGAGCGAACATTTAGTGAAGTGCTTTCTGTGCGTCGGGGGTTGTCCTGGGAACTTTCCATAGGTTATTTCATCAGGTTTTCCTGAACAAACCCATTGAGTAGTTGACATTTTCATCCCCATTCGACAGATGATGAAACCGAGGCTCGGAGAACGTAATCGCTGGCCCAAAGTTGCATAGCTCATAAAGGTATCTAATATCATTGGAGCTTTTACTTGGTGCCAGGCCTTGTTCTAAGAGTTTTGCACATATTTGCTCATTTAATTCTCAGAACAACCCTTGGAGTTAAATGCCCGTATTAGCTCTAATATACAGACGAGGAAACTGAGGCACGTAAATGGTTACATGACTTGTCCAAGGCTGTGCAGTCAACAGTGGCAGGACCAGGATTCACACCCTTGCAGTGAACTCCAGAGCCTGTGCTCTCAGCATCTACCCCGTGCAGCCTGTGTAGACCCTGGGGGAGGATGAGCAGAGATGGAAGAAGCCCCCTCGTTAAAGCACGGGCAGGAGGATCACAGCTAAGAGGCACGTGGGGATTCTCCAAGCAGGTTGGCAGCTCGGCGGTTTTAGGATTTTCGAGGTGGCCACACCTGGTTTTAAATTGTTTTTAAGTCTCTTTGCCTCTCTGGGCCTCAGTTTCTTACCTGTGAAGCAGGTGTATTGAGTATTCTCTGCAGGGCTGGGTGAGGGTTCCAGGAGGAACCCAGATGCCAGGTGTAAAGTATTGCGGGCTGTGGCACATTCTAAGACCTGACAACAGCAGGTGCCCCTTTTTCCGTCCCCTGTGGGAGATATCCACTTTCTCCTCCGTGCAAAGGTCTCTCTTTGGGAAACCCTCAATTCCAGCTTTGCATCCAGCCCTTTGCAGACACATATGTGTGTGGGAGGGCAGGGCACACAAGGGTAGCCACAGGTGAGCCTTATTTTCAGCTCAAGCTATAAATTAAGCCTTTTCACGGAGCTTTGACCCAGTACTTCACTTACACCAGGATTGGTATCTATGGGATATGGAGGGAATACAATGTTTTTAATCAACCAGTACTGCACATTGTTCTTTAATAACAGGTTGAATAGTCTCAATTCTAAGCCCTGCAGAAAGAAAATGAGAGAATTATCCTACAATTCACCCAGCCCCACAGGAGGGGAAACTGAGACCCAGAGAGTTGAAGTGACTAACTTGGTGTCACACCCACAGCCGTGGCAGAATTGGGTTCAGATCCAGGGCTTTTTCATGTCCCTGTACTCTAGTGGAGAAAGTCAGCAAGAAAGGTTGCTTGTTTTCATTGTAAAGCTTGTTTCCCATTTGTGAATGTCAGGTCTGTCCATGAAAGGAAATGCATTCTCACCCTGGGAAAATGGGGAGAAGTTAGAAAATGAAGAATCTGCCATAAGCTCACTATTCAGAGCTAACCACTGTTAGCAACTTTTAATGGGTTTCTTTACAGTCTATTTTAAAATTGGATTTATGGAGCTATAATTTACATAAATAAAATTTACCAGTTTGAAGAGTACGGTTTGATGGGTTTTGACAAATGCATATAGTTGTTTAACCACCATCACAATCAAGATATGTGACATGACCATCAACCTAGAGAGTCCCCCATACCCCTTTGCAGCCACTCCCTTTCCCCTACCCCAGCCACTGGCAATCACTCTCTGTGTCCTTTTGCTATAGTTTTGTCATCATATGGAGTTATTGGCATTTAATCTCTTATATCTGACTTCTTTCATTTACCATGCTTTTTGAGATTCATCTATGTTCTGTGTTGTCGGTATAATTCCTTTATATTGCTGAGTAGTGTGGATGTATCTCAGTTTGTTTATCCATTCACCAGCTGATAGACATTTAGGTCTCCAGTTTGGGAATACTATGAATAAAGCTGCTATGAACATTCATGTCCAAGTCCTTGTGTGAACATATATTTTTAACTCTCTTAGGTACATACCTAGGAGCGGAAATGCAGGCTCGTGTGATTACTCTGTTTGCCCATTTTGAGGGATTGCCATACCATTTCCTAAAGTGGTTACACCATTTTTACATTTTCTCCAAGAGTGTACAAGGGTTTCGATTTCTCCACATTCTTGCCAACACTTTTTATTATGATTATATGTTATTATTTCCCATTGAGCAATTGTTTTTTAAAGAGATTAAAAATGAGGGGGTATGTTTTCCTTATTTATCCACACATATACAGTTTCCAGCACTCATTTCTTTCTGTATATTTAGATTCTTACATGATGTCATTGTTTTGTTTTTTTTTTTTTTTTGGACCTGAAGAACTTCCTTTAATATTTCTTATAAGACAAGTCTAGGGTTGGGTTTGTTTGGTTAGTTGATTGGTTTTTTGTTTGTTTTTGTTTTGTTTTGTCTTAAAATCTTCATCTTAATTTATGAAAGATACTATCACTGGATTTAGAATTTTAGGTTGCCATTTTCTTTTAGTACTTCTGTTGTCTTCTGGGTTGTATAATTTGTGATGAGAGGTCTGCTGTCATTCTTATTTTTTAGTTCATCTATATATAATTTTCCCCCTTCTGACTACTTTTAAGATTTTTTCTTTTAATTGGTTTTCAACAGTTTTATTATGATGCAGTGCTGTGTGTTAGTGGTGTTTTCTTCATGTTTATTTTCCTTGGGGTTTTTGAATCTAGTTTATAGTTTTCAGTCTAGTTTATAGTTTTCATCTAGTTTTGAAACTTTGGGCTATTTTTTCAAATATTTTTTCCACCCTACTTTCTTTTTCTGGGACTCTCATTTTATATTTGTGTGTGTGTATATTAAACTGTTTGATACTATCCATGCTCTCTTCATTTACTTTCATCTTTTTACCCTGTTTTTCATGTTGAATAGTTGGCCCTGTTTCCAAGTTCAATGATGTTTTCTTCCATGGTATCTAATATACTTTAATCCCATATGTTATATTTTTTATATACATTTTCTAGAACTTCTACTTTAGTTGGTTCCTTTAGATTTTATTGGATTTTTTTTTACATTTTTCATTTCTCTCCTCATGATCATATTTTCCTTCATATCTGTGTGCATATTTATAATATTTACAACAGCCGTTTTTAAAGTCCTTATTGGCTAATCCCGTCATCTCTGTAATTTCTGGGTCTGTTTCTGATGATTAGTTTTTCTCTTGATTACAAGTCATATTTCCTACTACTTATTGAATACTTAATATTGTGAATTTTACAGTGTGGGTTGCTGGATTTTGTTGCCTTTCTCTAAGAGTGTTGAACTTTGTTTTGGCTTGCAGTTTAGTTACTTAATGATCACTTTTATATTTTTGAGGCTTGCACTTAGGATATTAGGGCAGATATGGAGCACCCTTTAGTGTGTGGCAAATTTAGCCCCAGTGATATAAAGGGGACGCTACCCAATTCCTCATGCACTGAAGTCTCCCCATCCTGACTGATGGCAGTACAAATTGTTCCCACCCATGTGTGTGAATCCTGGGAATTTGTCAGGTTACTGCTTTCTATTAATAGTAATTCTTTCTCATGTCTTGTGGAATTTGGCCTTGTGAGTATACAGATTAATGTTTAGCAGAAACTTAGTGGAGCCCTGCTGAAGGCCTCTAGAACTCTCTCTTTGTGTATTTCCTTCCTCTTTGGTACTTACCCCTGTATATTCTGCCTGCCTTGGCTCTCCCTGAACTTTGATCTCTGTCTCTTCAAGTCTCTGAGACCTCTGGGCTCTGTTGCAGTTCTGCATCTCTGTGCTACAGTTTGGAAACTGCCTGCAGAGAGTACACTGAGGCAATCATAGAGCTTAGCTTATTGGTTCTCTTTTTCTGGGATCACACCCTGAATGCCTGTCTGAAAACATGAATCATGCTTTGTAGTAGTTTACATCAGGAAAGCAAACCCTGCAGTAGGTCATCCTTAATGGGCAGAAAGTGAAAATCCCCCTCCCCATCTATTTTGGATGCTTAGATTTATTTGACCAAATCTAAAATACCTATAGAAACAATACATACAGAAGCTGAAGGGAGACAGGAGTGATCACTTTAGCCCAAGAGTTCAAGGCCAGCCTGAGCAACATAGCGAGACCCCCACCCTTTAAATCAGTCAAATCAATAAATCAATCATATAAATTTGTTATCTAATCTTGCTTTACATTGACTTATTTTCCCATGTTATTATAGCCTACCAAACCACCTTTCTAGTGGTTTCACAATATTCTTTCAAGTGTATGTTCTAGAGTGTCTTAACTAGTCTTGCCAGTTGATCATGTAAAAGTTACAGAAATCTTTTTTCTAAGTATGAAAAATGTGGCTTGGCCTCTAAGGCCTAAGGCCTTTAATTGAGAAGAATGGAAGATTTCTGGCAACTCTGAATGATGTCCTTAACCCATTCATATCCTTGGGTTGCGAATTCTACCTTTAAGATGATTTCTTAAGGAAATAAACCCCTAACCAAAAAAATAAATAAATAAACAGAGACACAATATAAAAATATGAGTGTATATGCTCATATGAGTCTATATGCTCACTCAACACAGAACATGTCTATAACCAAATATGTGGGTTTTCCTGTTCTCCGTGGACACTGACTGGGTGCCTTAGTTCATTTTCTGTTGCTTATTACAGAACACCTGAAACTGGGTAATTTATAAAGAAAAGGAATTTATTTCCTGTAGTTATGAAGGCTGAGAAGTCCAAGGCCAAGGGGCTGCATCTGGCGAGAGCCTTCTTGCTGGTGGGGACCCTGCGGTGTCCTGGGGTGGCACAGGGTGTCACACAGTGAGGGCTGAGCTTGCTAACGTGCCAGCTCCAGTCTCTCTTCCTCTTCTTGTAAAACTTCCAGTCCCCCTCCTGTGACGACTTATTAGTCCACCAACCCATTAATCCATTAATGGACTAATTCGTTCATGAGGGGCAAATTCCCTCGTGACCCAGCCCCCTCTTAAAGGCCTTACCGCTCAGTACTGCCACATTAGGGATTAATTTTCATCATGAGTTTCAGAGGGAGCATTCAAACCGTGGCATTGGGTGTCCTGCAGTTTAACTCGGTTCTGGCACTCTCTTCCTGGTGATAGAATCAGATCTTACAGGTTAAACGCTCAGTTCCACAAGACTGCTACTTCCAGATGGCAACCCAAAGTCCAGGTGGCTGTTGCCTGTGCTTCTGACCAACCAAGTTATAAATTAGAAGTTCTCATGACCGACCCCCTCTTCAGGCATGATGATTTGCTGGAGTGGTTTACAAAACTCAGGAGAAAGGTTTTCTTACTAGATTGCCAATTTATTATAAAAGGATACAACTCTGGAACAGCCTGGAAGATGCAGGGAGAGATGAATGGGGCATAACATGTGGGCAGGGCATGGAACTTCCGTGCCCTTTCTGGGCACGCCACCCTCCCAGGACCTCCTCGTGTTCACCAGCCCTGCAGCTCTCCAAACCCCATCCTTTTAGGCTTGTGTGGAGACATCTTACCTAGGCAGGGGTCAGTTACGTCATTGGTCATTGGTGATCAGCCCAACCTGGAGTCCCCTGCTTCCCCACCCAGAAGACAGTGAGTGGGGCTGAAAGTTCTATCACTTGGGAAATTTTAGGGTTTTAGGAGCTGTGTGCCAGGAACAGGGGACAGGACCAAAATGTGTCTTCCTATTATATCATAGTATCACAGTTGGACAGCTAGGTTCATGGCAGAACGGCAACATTAGAAACAGCAGAGCCCAGAAACCTAGGACTTGCAGAGTGTGGTTCAGCAAGCTGTGATGTGTTATGAGATAGAAGCCTGTGTGGCCATTTCTAACAACAAGAATGTGACTCAGACATTCCTATTCAGAAACAATCCTATACATGTCCAGGAGTGGCCATGCATAGAGGAGAATAGGCATATGCCTAATACTTGCAACTGGGTACAACTGCATAGGTACAAGTTAACAAAAATCTAGAGAAATATACAGAGGACACACCCAGGAATGGGAGACCTGGGATCGTGTCCTAGCCCTGGCGCCGTTTTCTGTGTGATCTTGGGCAAATCCTTTCCTGTGTCTGAACTTCAGTCTCCATGTCCTACAGTGAGGGGTTTGATAAGTTAGTACTTCGCGTCTTGTAAAGGGCTTTGGTTTGGTTTATTTAATAAAAACTCTAGTAAATGTACTAAAAAGATTTAAAAAAAAAAAAAGCATGCTTTAAAGAAGTGAGGTGCTTTTGGCCACTTGGAGCATGACTGGTACAGGTACGCCCTCGTCCTATAGCGGAGCCGGAACTCCGTGGCCCTGTAGGGTTCCCAGCCAGGCCTCTCATCCACAGGAAGTTCACCCTCTGCCCGGCGCTGTGCGCAGCTCTTCCCGGCGCTATCTCCTTAGCCCTGCCAGCAGCCATGCAATGTCATGTCATCATCTTCATTTTTCCAGAGGATAAAAAGGGGCTTTATAAGCGCACATAGTTGTGTACGGAAGGTTTGAACCTAGGCTTGGGTCCCAAAGGCCACGTTTTGCTGTCACCCACCACACTCTAGTTCTCACCCTTCAAGGTAACCCACTGTCCCCTCTGTGCCTGCAGCTGACAATGAAAACAACATCGCCTCCAACCAGTCCCGGTCGCCGCCCGCTGTTGTGGAGGAGAAGTGGAAACCGCAGGCCCAGAGGAACAGCGCCAATAACAGTAGGTCCCCTCGACCAGGGCTGGCCCCAGGGGCTCGCGGAGGTCTCTGGTTTTTTGCTCTGTCCCCGTTCCCGCCACTTGTGCCTTCTGTTATAATGCAGGATGGTGCGTAACAGCTTCCAAAGCACTTTTACACCTGAGACCTCATTTGCAGGAATTCTCGACTTACAGGATGAGCTGAAGGAGGCCCAGGGAGAGGAGGTGATTTTTTTTGTGTGTGTGATCAGAGAGCACCTGTTAGTGCCAGAATCAGAACTAGAACCCATCTCTCCACAGTTTCCATTGGTTACTCCTTCCTTACCCTATGGTATGGTCCTATGTATTTTATTTCCTAAAGATTCCTATGTTAGAGGCAACTGAAGAGGAAAAAGTTTAGACTGGTTGGCTTCAAAGGTCTAGATGAATGACACATACCGCAGGTTTGTTGCACACATAGCACATACTCTACTCCTGTGCTCATGGCAGGCATTACTAATCAATCATAGAACGTTATCCTTGTGAGGTCAGCACATGTTAAAAGCAGCCAGCACCACCAATTTGTGTGCAAGAGGAAATCTATTTGCCATTCCTAATGCTAGATGCTTAGAGTAGTAGGCTGTTGTCACACTTGACAGTCTCAAATGACAGAATTGACCCCCTCTCTCTTTGTGTCCCCTGCCAGCCACTACCAGTGGTTTAACGCCCAACAGCGTGATCCCCGAGAAGGAGCGGCAGAACATCGCAGAGCGGCTGCTGCGGGTCATGTGCGCCGACCTGGGCGCGCTGAGCGTGGTCAGCGGGAAGGAGTTCCTGAAGTTGGCCCAGACCTTGGTGGACAGTGGCGCCCGCTACGGGGCCTTCTCGGTCACCGAGATCCTGGGCAACTTCAACACGCTGGCGCTGAAGCACCTGCCGCGCATGTACAACCAGGTGAAGGTAAAGGTGACCTGTGCCTTGGGCAGCAACGCCTGCCTGGGCATTGGCGTCACCTGCCACTCGCAGAGCGTCGGCCCTGACTCCTGCTACATCCTCACGGCCTACCAGGCCGAGGGCAACCACATCAAGAGCTACGTGCTGGGCGTGAAGGGCGCGGACATCCGGGACAGCGGCGACCTGGTGCACCACTGGGTGCAGAATGTGCTGTCGGAGTTCGTGATGTCGGAGATCCGGACGGTGTACGTGACGGACTGCAGGGTGAGCGCGTCCGCCTTCTCCAAGGCCGGCATGTGCCTTCGCTGCTCGGCCTGTGCCTTGAACTCGGTGGTGCAGAGCGTGCTGAGCAAGCGGACGCTGCAGGCCCGCAGCATGCACGAGGTCATCGAGCTGCTCAACGTGTGCGAGGACCTGGCGGGCTCCACGGGCCTCGCCAAGGAGACCTTCGGGTCGCTGGAGGAGACGTCGCCGCCCCCCTGCTGGAACTCGGTGACGGACTCGCTGCTGCTGGTGCACGAGCGCTACGAGCAGATCTGCGAGTTCTACAGCCGGGCCAAGAAGATGAACCTCATCCAGAGCCTCAACAAGCACCTGCTGAGCAACCTGGCGGCCATCCTGACGCCGGTGAAGCAGGCCGTCATCGAGCTGAGCAACGAGAGCCAGCCCACCCTGCAGCTCGTGCTGCCCACCTACGTCAGGCTGGAGAAGCTGTTCACGGCCAAGGCCAACGACGCGGGCACCGTCAGCAAGCTGTGCCACCTCTTCCTGGAGGCGCTCAAGGAGAACTTCAAGGTGCACCCGGCCCACAAGGTGGCCATGATCTTGGACCCGCAGCAGAAGCTGCGGCCCGTGCCGCCCTACCAGCACGAGGAGATCATCGGCAAGGTGTGCGAGCTCATCAACGAGGTGAAGGAGTCCTGGACCGAGGAGGCGGACTTCGAGCCCAGCGCCAAGAAGGCCCGCTCCGCCGCCGGCGACAACCCCGCAGCTCAGGAAGACGACCGGCTTGGGAAGAGCGAAGTGTACGATTACCTGCAGGAGCCCCTCTTCCAGGCCACCCCCGATCTCTTCCAGTACTGGTCGTGTGTCACCCAGAAGCACACAAAGCTCGCCAAGCTCGCCTTCTGGCTCCTGGCGGTCCCCGCCGTGGGGGCCCGAAGCGGGTGTGTAAATATGTGTGAACAAGCGCTTCTGATCAAAAGGAGGCGGCTGCTCAGTCCCGAAGATATGAACAAACTCATGTTTCTCAAATCCAACATGCTTTAAGTCTTCGGGGGGGAAAAAAAAGAAAGAAAACGAAACAATAAGAAGAGAACATTAGAAAAAAAACACACAACACTGTCACAAACAGAAAAGGAATTTAAGTTCTAAACACTGTGGACCTCATTGTAAATGCCCCCTGGAAACATAAGTGCTTTTTTTCCGTGTGTGTGTGTGTGTGCATGTGTGTACACGCCCACACACGTGTGCGTGTCTGAACACACATGCTGGGGGTGTGGGGGGCTCTGTGCTCATCTGCACGGCCAGAGAAGCTTCGCACACGCGTGCGCGCGCACACACAACCCTGGTGCGTGCACACACGCCTGTCCGCGGGTGCGTGTGCACCGAATGGGGTGTGTCAGGAAAGCCGAGCGACTGGGAAAGAGGGAGATGTTCCACCTCCTCTTCTCAGCGAGGGGGCTCTAAAGACTCTGTTTTCAGGTGTGCAGATTGGTAGAAAGCTGGCGTTGTGAAATGTTCAGGCAGCTGAGATCTGAAGTGACTTGACGCTCTGTCCTTCACCCCCGGGCCCCCGTCTCCCTCCCTGCCCCTGCCCCGGCCCCTACCCCAGCCCTCCCGACCTCACTGTACAAACCCTCCCCAGCCCACAGCCCCCAGCTGCTCTGCCACGGGTTCTCCAAACTGCATCAGACGGACAGTTGCTGCACTGGACTTTGTTTCTCGTTCATCTTCAGGGCATTGAGCTGCTGCCTTTTGTGACACCCCTCGGGTGTCCCGGGGCAGCCGCCTTAGAAACACACCTATCTATCTCCCCAAATCAGGAAAGGAGACTTAAAAAATATAAAGCTGACATTTTGCTTTATAATATAAGAGAGAAAAAAAAAGACATTTTTCAGAAAAGTATAGACACTGTCTCCACTCCTTAATATTTTTGCCTAATATTGGAGCAATTTTTACCTTGTTTTGGGGATTCGTTTTATTTCTTCAAATTTGATTTAGACTCTGCTAGGAGGCACTGAATGTCTATAACTTATATGTTTTTTGGAGTTTTGTTTTTTTACTCGCCCCTTTTGTTCCTCAAGTCACACTGTAAACTAGCTCATCTCAGTGGTATCCTCAGTACCCTAAGGCTCTGCCTGGCCTTCCCTGTACAGCTCAGTTGTCGTGTGTTTGGGCAGCCAAGGCCAAGATCTTGCTGTTTGGAGCCCGGGTGGGGGAGGAGTCTCATTCCACAGGGGTGGGGCCGGCAGAAGCCATAGGGGAAGCCGGTGGGAGTCCTGAATGTAGGTGGAGGAGCCGCCCTCCTGGCCCCTGCGTCTGGCGCCGCGAATGTCTGATTTCTGTACCCAGAGTGCATTACACTACTCCCGCCTCTCTGCCCCTTCCCGTGCCACAGGGACCCCCGAGTTGACCTGTAATCGCGTCCGCCACACCTCAGACCCGCCACGGCCTCTCCTCCCTTCCCAGGTCCCCGAGGGTGCTGGGGTCCCCACATGCGCCACAGACCTCCTTCCAGGATGGCGGTCGAGCACGGCGCCTTGCAGCCGGGCAGCTGAGGTTGCAAGGGTGGCGAGTCACCAGCCCCGTTGAACTTGATGCTGTGAGAGGTGTCGCTGGGCTTCTCTGTCCTGGGCCCTGGCCGTGGCAGTTTAGGTTCTGCGCACACAGCCCGGTGCCGAAAGGGTGGCACCCCACTGCCATCACGAGAGGCGGTTCCATCAGGATCAACACCCGACCCCTTTCACTCCTCCCAGCTGGATAAAGGTCGGTGGTGGCATGTGCCCTGGTGGTCCCACGTGCCCCAGTGCCCGTGGCCGTGGGACAGGGATGGTTGCACTCAGGGCTTCAGGCTGAGAAGGACCACCATTGTGGGGGGCTGTTTGCAAAGGCACCATCAACCGTGCCGGGGGCCGGCCGAGTCGCCTCCACCCCGTCCCAACAATAAAGCATTACTCCACCGCGAGATACCTCGACTACCAAAAGCACTGTACTGCAGCCCTCTCCCTGGGCCCGTGGCAAGAGGAGGAGTAAAGTGGTTTTAAAAACTCAAGAAGGCTTAGGACTGTGGACCCAGACCACTGTCCCGGGGCCAGGCTGCACACTTCGCCTCATGAGGGCTGACCCAGCTCTCCCCTCCAGAGCCTTGGACATGCTGAGATGGATCTAACGACCATCCCCACATTCGCTCCAGCAAGCCGTGGTCTCAGGAACCACCATGCCATTTCCTCTCCTGGAGAATTCTAGATATTTCCTCTTGGGGGCCCACCCTCAAATGAGCCTCCATGTACACTAGCAGGAACAGGGAGAAATCTGAACAGGAACCTAATGTCACTTCCTAGAGAGTATGGAAACATCAGCAGACTTTTCGATTGGATCTTCAGGGGCGTTCCACAAGGTGGCCTCGGGGTTGCTGATGATTGACAGATGCCTACAGCAGAAGGGCCCGCCAGCCTCGCTGGACTGCCAGGGAAGGGGCGGTGGCCTGGAGATTTCCAACCACACAAGGAGGATGGGAGCTGCCCATTCTGGGAGCAGAGCCTTGGCGCCCATCTTGGAGCAGAGCTGTGCTGGGGGTGCCCCGTTCTTGGCCAGTTAATTAGAAAATAGGCATTTCACTTTCTTGCGAGGACATCAGAAACCAAGCCCAGGTGTGCATTTAGAGCACTCACCTCTATGTGGAACATGGGATGTCTGCCTTCCAGAAATATAGTCAGTCTTATTAAACTCTAGGTGTCTGGTCATAGGTTGTCACCTCCTGTCCCATGCTTCCTTTCCCCCTCAGTTCAGTGCTTAGGGTTGGGCTTGCCTCTGCAGGTTTCACGTTGAATACCACTAGGTACTCAGAAAGCTGTCTTCTGGGGCTGCCTGGTCCAGACAGAGAATGGAGTGGCAGTGGTCATTTCTCTCTTGCAACCTCTGGTTCCCAGAAACTGATGTTGCCAACAGGAAAGGTGTACCCAGGTGCCCTGTCAGTCTGCTGCTCACGCAGGCCACTCTCGTGCAGTCCTGCTGCAGCGAACAGCTTAATAAAACCCAAAGATGTCACAGGTCCAGCCGCTGGCCCCTCGTCTCCAGCAATAGCCACCTTACCAAATTCTAGTTCAGCCAAAGGATTGAGACTGGCTCCTCCAGCTCACCTCCCAGCACCTGGCCTGGCCTTCACTTTTGGGAGGATTTTGTCATCTGCCCGCCCAGTTCTGAGGCCACTGTAGGTCCGGCCACCCCACCACAGGCCACTGGGGGATCGGAGACCAGGAAGTTGGGCTGTTTCTGCCGTGTTCTCAGTAGGTCGGGTGGTTGCCTGCTGACTCGGGTTAGCTCACCTCGGGACACGTGATTCCCAGGGCAGAAATGGCCTTTGTTTTGACATACGTGGACCCAAGAGGGGAGGTGAAGAAAACACATCTCCACTTAGCAGGTCCTTCCCCGCCTTACCTGAGGTCGGCTTGCTCACCAGCATGGCCCAAGCCAAGGACCTCAGCGACATGGGTGGTCCCTTGGATCTGCAGTAGCTGGAGGAGTGTCAGGTCCACCAAGAGCAACGGTGCCATCCTGGTGGGTGCCACCCACGTCCTGGGTGGATGCCCTTGTCTCAGCACTGTTCTCCTTCTCCCGATGCCCAGGCCGGCCAGCCAGGCCTCCTTCCAATGGCATTTAGAAACCAGGAAACAAAACAGGTGCCACCTGAGCAAAACGGCCCGTGCTTCATCTCTGGGGTCTCGCAGCACAGAGGTCACCTGCCGCCTCACGAGTGAGGGAGCTGCAGCAGCATCCTGCTTGGAGCTTCACACTCGGCATTTGGGGATTGGCTCTTGGCTGGGATTTCCTGGCAAGGACAGAAGGGCAGTCCAGGGACACGGATGAGAAGCTGTGGGTCTCCAGGACTCTAGGAAGACACCAGAGTCCAGTGGGTAGGCTGGCCAGAGTCCTCTCTCTCAGTTTAAGCTTTTATTTCCTGCACTTTCGAGAAACACCAGAGAAAAATTCTGCAGGGCGTGTTTTCCACTGTGAAGCTGAACCTCTGTCTTTAGGAGTCCGCTGTTCCCAAGCAGTGCCACCTGCTTCCCCTGGACTTGGGCTGGACTCCTTGACGAGTGGGCACCTGGAGAGACGTCAGGGATGTGGCACATGCTCTCTGGGGGGGCCACAGAGTCACCAGAAGATTTGAAATGAAGATGGGACGTGGAGGGAGGAGGGAGGGCCTACGAGATGGCCCAGCAGGGGCCCCTGCCCAGGTCTTGCCATCACGATGGATGTGCTCAACGAGGAGGCGCACGGGGCATGGCACGAAGCCACCTGCTGCCCGGCGAGTGGCACCAAGGTCGTAGCTCTGCGCTTGCCCGGGGAACGGCGGCAGTGCCCCCTCTGTCTCTGCAGTGCATCTGGCGGAGGGCTCCTGGGAAGGCGGATGGTTTGGACAGAACCAAGAGACTAAGTAAGGCCCAGCTGTGCCCTGGGGCCAGTGGACGGCGGCTCCTGTCCCGGCCAGCTGGGCCAGCGGGGACCTGGGAAGGAGGCTGCCCCTCCCTTCACTGTGGCTAACGTTTGCTAGGCCAGTTATGGTGAACCAATGATACAGTGTTTTCCCTCTTATGTTTCCCTCCTGGTTTCCCCTTTTCAGGGTTTTCTGGGGGATTTCATTGTCGTTGTCGTCGTTGTTTTTCTTGCTCTCTCATTTGGGTTTGAGGATCATGGTGGGGCACCCTGGCCTCTGCGGAAGGAGCCCTGTGGCTTCTGTGGAAGAGGCACCTGCCGAAGGTGAAGACCGTAGGGCGCTGTTGGACACGTTCATGCCCCGCCTCCCCCACCCCCCACCCCTGGGTTCGCTTTAAAGATTCGATTCCTGTATGGAGAAGGATTTGCTAGGCTTGCAGTTGGGCCCCACCCACGCGTCCCACTGGGCACCTTGACTCTTCAAACCAAAATTCCTTAAAGGGGCACAGCCCAGCCTTGTCTTCAACCTCAGGGGCCTGGCACTCCTGTGGCACTTCCTGAAGTCCAGGGCGGCACACACGGGGTCTGAGGCCAGCCGGAAGGAGGCACTCCTCCCACCACCCAGGTGCCAACAGGTCTCTGCCTAGGACCCTCCCTCCGGCCCGGCCAGGCGTCCCCAGTGGTGAGCGAGCACACGGACAGACCCTCCGGGAGAGTGCAAGGGCCACCCTGCGGGGCTGGGGGCCCCCCAACCCCAGGCAGCTCATCCAGGGCCCTTCAGATCCCAAGCATCAGGAAATCATTTTGTAAAACCACCTGAAGCAGAGATATTTTTTAAAAAGCGTAAATTATTTTCAGTTTTCTGATCCTACCTTTTTCTTTCCGTGTCAGTGATGCGTTCACATCAGGTAAATCTCGAGAAAGCCTTGGTGCCCTCCTCCCCCTGGCTCAGAAACCACGTGCGTGCACACCCACCCTTTCTCAGTAGTTAAGACGTTCTAGGCAATACCATGGACACATCCGTGTGTCTCTCTCTTCGAGTGCAAGAAACTCAAGTCATCTTAAAAAAATACAAAAAAAAAAAAAATTTACAAAAAAACAAACACAAAAAAAATATCTTTTTTAGGCCAGAGTTTTCTACAGGTATTAATGAATATTTTTCTTAATCCTTATAAGTTTTATGTGTTTAATATTTCTTAATACCGGTAGCATTAATTTATACTTTTGTAGCAACACAATATTTTTATAAACAGCCAGTGCTTGGCTCAAGTCTTCACGAGGGGTTTATGCAGGGCCATCTTGGGGACCCTGTGTACCATGTACTGTATTTAAAAAAAAAAAAAGTTACCTAGTGTCACACTTGCTGTGTTAATTAAAGAAAAGACGTTGTGTACGGTCTCCTGTATCGTTGGTGTGGATCCAACAGCTCTCCAAGGAGTCAGACTGCATGGGGGTTGAGTTGACGGTTCTTGTTGTGATATGTAAACCCCCGAAACCAAACTTGAGGGTTCATTTAGGGTTTTCTGTTTGTCCTTTGGGTTTTGGTTTTACTTTGTTTTGGTACCATTTCTCCATTTACAGCCTAATCAGTTTCATGCTGTTTAAACCTTTTACTGATGTCAAATGGAGGAAAGGAATAGAGAAAAAAAAAACTTTTTTTTTTTTACAAAGTAATAAAATTTAAAACTGAGCTGTTTAAATGTTGCTGTTTTTTACCTGTCTGTTTTTGTCCAAAAGTGGAACATTCCCAGGGAGAAGAGGAAGGTTCCACTGGGTTCCTTAAATCACCAAAAGCCCCAGCCCAGGATTCAGTACCTCCCCCATCCCCTGAATTCTTGCAACATTATTTCCCAGTTGGTTGATGCCAAGGCAAAAAGACGTCCTTTTAACGGTGAGAGAGGATCAGTTGCATAAATGATTTCATGTCAGTGTTGTATTTATGGTTTTACAATAAAACGACCTTTAGGAAGATGCAGTGTGTGGTGTTTTTTTTCTTGGATCTGGGAATGGGCCATGCCGTTCGGTTAGGAGCGGAGCCCCTGCAGGGACGCAAGGGAGACAGCTCACTCCATCCCGAGGGGGCGCTGTGTGGGGCCAGGGTTGTCACCTGGGGGCTCCAGCACCAGGCCCAGCTCAGCCACGTCCGATAAAGGAGGGAGGGACGTAGCCACGGAAGATGTGAGCCCTGGTGGGATGCGGAGCACTGCTCTGTGGAAGAGGGAAGGATTTGGTCCGAGTCCTCCTGACCGAATGCTAAGGTGCACGTCCAGGCTCACCCTGGCCCTCGGGCCCCCGTGAGGCTTTCGTGCCCCAATTCCCAACGGCTTCGGCCTCCCAAACTGTGACGTTACAGCTGTCATACGTATCATCCATGTCCTGGGGAAGAGTGTCTGTAGCTTTTGCCAAATTCCTGAAGGCGTGTGGGACTCCATGGTGGCTTCGCCCAGACCCTGACGCCGTGCGGACGCCAGGACGCCCATGCTCCTCTTCGGCGGAGCCAAGCCAAAGGCAAGCTGAGGAGGGAAGACGCCACCAGCGGCTCTCCTGCCCCCAAAACAGCCCGTTAGGAGGGGGAGCTGCCACCCTGCCATCAAGGTGAGTGAGTGACACCCCGAGCCCTGTCTGTGCCAGGCGTGGGTAACTCTCACACGTAGAGGGTGTGTTAACTCCCATCACCTGAAAAACGTCCATCAAGTCGCGCGTGCGTGTCATGGCACGAAGAGGCTGCTGACCCGGACCAGCCCCCCCAGGGGTGGCGGCCCTGCCCTCAGACCACCCTGCCCAGCGAGCGGTGCGGCGGCCCTGGGCGAGCGGTGGGGGTTGAACCGAGGCTGTGCCACCCACGCTAAAGGTCGCCAGCCTTGCTGTGGCCCGAGAAATCCTCCCCGGCGCCTTGAACATCGCAGCCAAGAAAGGCCCGGAAGCCCTCACGGCTGAGGGATCAGCCTCTGGATTGTTTTAAAAAATTGTTTTAAAGAGGAAAAACAAAAGATACGTCTCTTTGTTAAGCAGCCACATTTACTTTGCAGCGAGTAAGTTGAGTGGGGCCGTGCCTTCGAGGGAAACTTGAGGCGAGGCTGTTTAAGCTTCGAGTGACTCTTCAGGGAAGGGGCATCGCTGTGCTGGGAAGGACACCGGCGCCTTCTGAGACAAGCAGCGGGAATTCCTGTGACTCGGGGTCACAGGGGTGCCGCACCCCAACCTAGCCCCAAGGGATAAAGTCAGGGTACATTGACTTTTTTTTGGTGGGGGTAGTTTTAGTGACAAGTTGTAGCAAGTGTCACAGAGACAAATGCCTCGGGGACCAGGCAGGTTGGCGAGCAGGGCTCGTGAACCACCAGGTAAGGCCCTTCCAGGGGATGGGAGGGGGCGATGTCTGTCTCTACCAAGCTCTGGCCCGCTGTTGGCGTCAGGATGCAGACCCTGGGCTGCCGAGATACCTATTTGCAAGTCAGTTGACAAACCCAGACATTTATGGGAAGCTCAGTTTACTTGGTGGATTCAGAGCTGTGCAAAAGCACCCTACGCGCAGCCACTGGCTGAGCTGGGCCGCGCACCTGTGGCTCGCACCCTCTGGTTTGAGCATCTGTCTTTTGGGTCAGGTCACCTCCAAATAGCGCTCTTCAGAGTGGCCCCTTCGCACTGCCATGGACGGCCACCCCTGGTGGGAAGCACACATGGAAGGGACAGGGTAGGGACAGGGCTAGGGGGACATTTGCTGGTCGAGGGCCTCTGTCATGTCCCTCTGAACTGTTGCCACCTCCCTGCTCCTGTCCTCAGAGTCCTGGCCCCGACTACAAATGCTCTTCCTCAGGACTGTCCTCTCTGTTGGAACCTGGATGCCCCAAGATCAGGACCTTGGGGGAGACAAAAGGAAGGTCTTGGTGCGTGTGACCCAGGGGGCTGCAAAGCCTTCTACACCCAGATCCTTGCCTCCGAGCTCATCCTCTCAACAAGAGGCGTGGGATCTTCTCATTCCTCCTGACAGCTCTATTAACAAGGACCAGGGGTGCAAGAGGCAAACCCTGGACTGACTAGCCACCAGCCCTTGGGACGCAGGTCACACCCCAGAGGAATGTGGGTCCTGCCTGGGTGTCTGCCACTGGGGTCTGCTCTCCACGCCACCACACACACAGCCGGGCAGCAGCCATCAGGCCTCGGGTGGATGTGGTCAGCGAGAGGGGTTTATAAATTGGCCAGGCACAGCAGCTCACACCTGCAATCCCAGCACTTTGGGAGGCCAAGGTGGAAGGATCCCTTGAGCCCAGGAGTTCCAGACCAGCCTGGGCAACATAGCAAGACCCTGTCTCTATAAAAATTTAAAAATTAGCCAAGCCTGATAGCACACACTTGTAGTCCCAGCTACCTGAGAGGCTGAGGCAGGGGGAATCACTTGAGCCCAGGAGTTTGAGGCTGCAGTGAGCTATGATCAGGCCACTGCACTCTAGCCCAGGCAAGAGAGTGAGACCCTGTCTCTAAAAAAAAAAAAAAAAAAATTATAAATCAGACAATTTTAAGTCCAGTGTGAATTTGCAAACTGGAAGCTCAGAGTTGTTGCCTTGGAACAGCGTGGTCCTAGAGCAGCCCTGGACAGACAGCTCGCCTCTCTTCCCCAAGGAGTTGAAGCCAGGTCAGACCAAGGGCTGCTGGCTCTGGGCCAGGGCCCAGCCGGCTGCCCGGACACAATGCAAAGGAAGGCTGGTGAGCATTCTCCTTCCAGGACAAAGGGCCAGAGTGGGGACCCCAGGGGACGGCACCCCGGGGCCACGCGGAGACACAGCAGAGGCTTTCCAGCTCCTGGCAGCTGGTTCTGGGAACTGGGCTGCAGGTGAAATAAGACGCTGGAGAGGCTTCTGGTGCGGCGGAGGACAGGGGCACTATTTCAGGCTCCTGTGGGCTGTGCGCCCTGGGCTCCCTGGGCACGCTGAGCACAATCGTTTCTTCTGGCCCTGGGTCACTGACGCCCCCCGCCAAGCCTCTCCCAGAAACAAGTGCCCAGGGTTTTCTCCTTCCTTTCTTTTCTAGCGTTATTAAAACGAAGCAAAACAATCCCATTTCACACAACTGTGAAACAGAACTGCGATTTATGTTCCATAATCTGCATAGCAGTTTCACGTGCTGAAGGCAGCGCTGTTACATCCCAGCACGTGCCTTTCTCGCTGCCGGGGAAAGCTGGGGTACCCGTGCACCCACCTCGGCTTTGTCCCCTCCCCCCCCCCACCTCGTCATGCTTGGATGACAATGAACACTCAGGACACCGACGTTCAGGAGTTTGCAATTTGGTTTTTATTTGGACTCAGGTTGCTCAGCCCCGGCCTGCCACGGGGCCCTGGAACAGACACCGGCCGCCCTGCGGCTTACAGACGGGCCGGACTTCAGCTGGAGACGCGCAGCAGCTCCTCGTCCCCTGCGGACACAGACAGGCTCAGGGAGGGAACACTCGGGACGGGGGAGTGGGGAGGCCTCCCGGGGCAGGGAAGGCAGCTGGAGCCGGGACCAGAACTCCTGCTTGCCGAGTGGCTTATCTGCAAAGGGCATTCCACAGGAGGATCTGATTTGTTGCCTTTTCTCTTTTGCCATAGGCACCATTCTCCAGTGGGAAAATCGAGGTACAAGAATCTTGAATGGCTGCCGTTCCCTGGAATGCTATCACTGTTATCATTGCATCAGTATGGTCGCTATGAGTAGCAGTTGCCTTTAGTTGAGCACTAACTCCATGCCACATCCTGTGCAGTCTGAAAGGTAGCGGGTACTTCGTCCCATTTTACAGGAAAAACATCGAGGCTCAAATTGGCACTTGCTCAATGTGGCCAGCCTAAATGTGGCAGCACCAGAACTCGGGCCCGGCTCTGCCCAGCTCCGCAGCCAGCCCTGCACACCCTCTGCCTGTGCCTGGCAAAACACCTGCCTGGGTGCCCAGTCCCAGCTGAGATTGGGCCCCAGGTTTGGCCCCATTTCACAGGGGAGAAGCTGAGGCCAAGAGCATGGATGGGCTGCTCACCAGGTACAGAGTCCAGAACTCAGCTCTGCAGACCCCAAGCCCCTACCAGGGCTCTCCCACCTAGACCCTGACAGCCCCTTGACCCCGCCCGGCACCCCGCAGGGCCTCCTACCATCACCAGGGACGCCGCAGTACTCCCTGCACTCCTTCTCTGAGTAGAACTTGTTGCCGTTGCCATGGCAGCCCCCATAGACGAACTGGACGCACTTCCCCTGGGCAGCATCAAATGCCCAGAGCTTGTTGAAAGCGCGGCAGGAACCACTGACTATGGGAAGATTGCAGGCCGCTGTGGGGTAGAAAGAAGCATGGTATGTCAGTCATCTGTGCAACCACAGACTGAGCAGACACGGGGCTGCTGAGCCTGGGACCATGCTCATCTAGAACACCTCATCCCTCTTTGGCAGATGGGGAAACTGAGGTTCACAAGAAAAAAAGTGACTTGCCTGGGGCCCTCCATATCCAAATGTGGAATCCCTATGATTTCAGCAAACTTGCCCTGGAGTTCCACCACGGGAACACCCTCTCTCAGCTACCTTTTCAGTTGGCAGGTGGTTTATTGGGAGGACAGGGTCACCGGGTGCAGAGTACACAGAGGCGGGGCCCGTACTCACCTATGGTCCGGCAGGTCTGCAGACACTCCTTCTCTGTGGCGAAGTTGTTGGCATTGCCCATGCAGCCGCCATACTGGAAGATCTCACAGGCCATGGACGTGCCATTGTAGAAGTACCTGTTGGTCATTCCCATGCAGGGACCTGCCGAGTAGCCCATCTGGCAGGCATCTGGGGAGAGGCAACAGCAGTACTGCCCCATGTGTACTGAGCACCCATAATCCGCTGGGCACTCAATATGCATCATCTCGTTCAGTTTGCACCTCTACACTAAAAGGAAGGATTATCAACTCATTTTCTAGATGAGGAAGCTGACCCTCAGAGAGGTGAAGTGACCTGCCCAGAGTTACATAAAGCTAAAATTCAAAACCATGTCTGTTGAGCTCCAGCACCAACGCTTATTCCACTCCGTGATGTGGGAAGCAACCCACAGACCCACCATCCACAGTGTTGGTCTTGTCTGTCCCCAAATTCTGTAATATCTGCACCAGCCCCCATGCTGTCAGCCTGACCCCTTCTCCAAGTCCCCCCTCTGTAAAACTACCTGGATGCCTGGACACAGCATGGACGACTCCTGACCCCTCTGAGGTCTCCAGCCCTTTAGCTGACCCTCCCGTTAGGGCCCATCATGTTCTTTGGGTTCCTCTCCCACTAGACAAGATGATATGGGTGGTCTGTCTCCGTGGCTGCAGTGCCTAGCACAGGGCCTGGGGCAGAGCAGGGTTCAGCATTTGCTGAGGGTGTTGGAGAGGGAGCTGTTCACAGACAGTGCCAACTTGCTCCTACAAGAGCACTGGCGGTCAGCCTGGCAGGCTGTTACCCCATAGACCAGATGAGGAAACCAAGGGCAGGAGGCCACCTGGTCCCAGGCAGGGCAAGGACTAGCTTCTCATCATGTAGCTGACAGTCCCTCAGCTCAGGACCATGCCTTATGCTCCTCTCTCCCAGCTAAACCGCTAGCACAGTGTAAACTACTTGATTTGCCTTTTCTCAGCCCAACCCTTGAGTCTCTAGCAGATAAAGCGACTTCACAGTGATGGGGATATCTAGGGTGAGCCAACCGTGGGCGCTTCTTCTGGCCCTTCCTCATGGCAGAAAGGGTGAGAAGGCAGGTGCTCTACCTTCTTTCTTGACGACATTAAGTAGTTGTTGCCCGTCCCCGGATCCTTCATCTTCTTGAGGTAGCACAGCCCGCCGGGCCCTCTGGGGGGAGAAAAGAAGAAGCTGTTACAGACACCTTGTTACTATTGCTCACCTGTACCCCTGGAATATATAAATAAACCCTCTGCTTTGGGAATCAGGGCATAGATAGAAGCACAGCCACTGGACTGGCTAATGGACTGGCCACAAAATCATCAACCTGAATTCCAGCATGGGCATCAAAAGATAGATTTCTGATTTGAAATGAAAATCAGAACCATGAGGCATAGCAATACCCCCATATCCAACTTCCAGTTGAAGTGCCTAAAGAAATATAATGATGGAAAAGAATCTCCCCTAGAGCTGGAAATCAGGGGAAAACAGCATTCCCATGCTAGAAATGTGAAGGCATTTTTGCATGACAGAGTGTGGGTACAACTGGTTTGCAGGAAGGGTGAACAGACTATCAACTGCTTGCAAAGGAAAAAAAAATCCATCCAGAGAGAAAGAAGGGACCTCAAGACTGACCCTAACTCCTGGCTATGGTAGTGGGGACTGCAACACAGGGAAGGCCACCAAAGCTGTCAAGAGGGTCTCTGGGTGTAGGGTTCCCTGAGGCAGGATCCCAGGCAATTGAAGAAGAGGTAAGTAGGGAACTGCTGGCCACCAGGTAGCCATCTTGTCCACAGGTAAGACCTGGAACTTGAAATGATAGAACTAAAGTAACCTTAAACTTTCCTTTCTGCTTTTGAAGTGCAGCTGAAAACTGTGAATACTGGCAGAGACTCCCACACTCTGCCAGATCCATCTCAAGCTGATGAGATATATGTCTTCCTTGGTGAGGGTGGAGGAACAGAGAAAAGTTGTAGGACAAGTTAAATGATGCCGCTGCTCAGAAGAATTAGACTGGGCTGATGAAATATCCCCACTGAACACAGGATGGCAGAAAAAAACAGGAGAAAATTTAAAGCATCAGTGAAATTCAGTATGATAGGCACTGATATAACAGAAGCCAACAGTGATGGAAATGAGTATGTGGAAGAAGATTATTGGACATAGAAAAGATGTTCGGTTTAACCACATAGTTGAGATAATAAACTGCAGCTTAGATACTATAGGAAATAATCCACATAATGGGGATTCCAGAAGGAGAGGCAATTGGTATAGAAATGATAGAAGAAAACTTTTCTGAGTTGAAGAAAGACCTGAGCTGCCCAATTATGAGAGAAAGGGAAACCACAACAAATTAATGAAGGGCTCCTTCTTGGACATTCCTAGGGACAAAGGATAAAGAGCCTAATGACCCACAGAGTAAATGACAGCATTTAATGCAGAAGCCCCAGAGCAATGTTCTGAGGGTTATGAGGGAAAAGGGGTCCTTCACTCATCCAAGTTGTTGACTATATGATATAACCAGAGAAAGACATTCTCAGTTATGTAAGGGTCTTACGTAAGGGTCTAGAAGTTTGCCACTCATGTATCTTTCCTGAAAAAATTACTTGTAGAGATATTTCTACCAATTGAGAAGGAAATCTAAATGCCAAATATTGAAGATCTTAGAGCAAAGAAATGATGGTAAACTATAAAGCCAATAAAATATAGAGTTGAATAACAAATAATTGTTAAAATTGTTATGCAATTTAATGTAAATATTTTTAAATTCTTTTTGAAAATGTAAGCAATGTCAAATCATAGCCACAAAAACAGTCATGTGAGAAATCTGAAAGGATTAAAATAAACGGTAAGAAACAGAAATGTAGGTGTGCTATGTTTCTGTCTTGTGCAAGAGGAGTGAGTTGTTTCATTCTTGACATTGATAAAGAAATATAGAGTTAGTTGACATCTGGATTAAGATGTCAGATTGAAACTCTTCTCAAAAGTTCTCTCCCCAAACTCATGCCTGTAGTCCCAGCTACTTGGAAAGCTAAGGTGGGAGGATCACTTGAGCCCTGGAGTTTGAGGCTGCAGTGAGCTATGATCATGCCACTGCACTCCAGCCTGGGTGACTGAGCGAGACCCTGTCTCTAGGAAAAAAAAAATTCTCTCCCCAATACCCAACATAGCAAAAAATTATTTCAAAAACACAGCTCCCAAATTGTCATCAATATCACTCATACAAAGAAATGGGCATAATTTAAAGCCAAACACTTTAAAACTGGCAATCAAGAAAAGAAACAAAACATTCTGGAACTAACAGACTGGTTCGGCAGGGTGTAGCCCTTAACTTTTAACTGTACTCTCCAACCTCCAGGACTGGTAATGTCATCAGATCTATAATTCTTGCTGGTACTTCCAAATCCAGAAAGAAGAAAATTAAGGGGCACCCCATCTTTTCCTTTCCTGACAGAGGAGTAGTAAAAATGGCTTCTGGGAAAAAAGAGTAGAAAAGGAAAATAGAGTTCAAGTCTAATGGAAGTGAAGGTTCTAGAGCTACACAATCTAATGCTACATAATCTAATGAAGGATGTGTTGCCATGGGACAGTTGTACATCACAACATCCCCTACCAGATTATGAACCCTATGTAGAATACTTAGCAGTCCTTCAAAAGACCAGCAGAGGAAGGATGTTATGAATTGAATTGTGTCCTCCCAAAATTAATATACTGGAGTCATAACCCCCAATGCTTCAGAACGTGACCTTATTTTGAAATAGGGTTGCTGCAAATGTAAGCAAGATGAGGCCATTAGGGTGGTCCCTAATCCAATAGGAGTGGTGTCTTTACAAAAAGGGGACATTTGTACACAGAGACACACACACATTGAGAATATCATGTGGAGATGAAGGTAGCGGTTGGGGCGATGATTGTGCAAGCCAGGGACACCAAAGACTGCCAGCAAACCACTGGGTGAGAGGTACAGAATGGAATCTTTCTCATAACCTTCAAGAGGAACCAACCCTTCCAACACCTTGATCTTGGACTTCTGGCCTCCAGAGCTATGAGACAATAAATTTATGTGGTTTCAACCCCCAGTTTGTGCAACTTTGTTACGGCAGCCCCAGGATATTAACATCTGGAGCGTAAGGACCCACATGCTGCTCCTTGGGGGGCAGCTTCTCAGCCGTCCCCTCCACCATCCTCTTGGACTTGAGAAAGGTGGATGAACACAGTACCAGACCTTGTGCTAAAGAGAGAACTGGTACAGAAACGACCAAAACCACCTCGGAAACGAGCACAAAAATAAATGACCTGAACGAAAGGAAGAGCCCAGCGGTGGTGGACACCGTCATAAACTGCTGAGATTTCCCCTCAGCAATGCACTTCAGCTGCCGGAAGTGCGGCTGCCGCCAGAGGTCAGCCCTGGAGGTCGGTCCCTTTTGGAGACGGCCTCCGCTAGAGGGCGCCATCTCACCCAGGTCGCGCTCCCCTCCCACACTGACCACCGTGGGGGTATTAAGGTCCTGCCCCTTTGCTCCATCTTGGGACAACTCTGAAGGGCCGTCCCGACTTCAGAGGGCCCTGTACGTTTGGCTGAGCCACGGTGACCTCATCGCAGCTCCCCTTCTCCCTCTGCCCAATCCTGCCTGCCCGCCTGCCTGCCCTTCCATAGTGTTTATCCTGGGGAACCCGACCCGTGATACTGGAAGAAAATAGAACGCAAGGAACAGAAGGAAATGCCTCAATGGCTCCACGCTATGGAATTACTTCATTAGACATTCACACTAGCAGAAGGCTCAAAGATGAGACGCTAAAACAACAGAATAAGATGAAAAGAGAGAATCCATGCCTATAAAAACAAATTGAGAACCAAAATAACAGAAACCGAGAGCTAATGAATAAATTAGAAATAGAAATAATAAGGAACAGATTGGAATGACTGCTAAAAATGGAATGAGGTCATAGAAGAAAGGCTGGAGATAATCTCAATGAATGCAGATGAAAAAGACAAAGAGAGGAGAGCAACTGGGGAGAAACCAGTAGATGTGGAAGACAAAGATGCACCCGGATGAGAGAATAAATGTTCCTAAGGTAGCAAAACCCAACAGAGGGAATGGAAGATGAAGTCAACGATATAGATCAAGAGATTTCCCTGAAATAATGAAGAAATGTCATTTGTACATGGAAAGAGCCCATTGTCTTTCAGGAAATTTTCACATAGAATTTTCAACACTAACACATGTCCTGGTTAAGATGTTGACCTTAATGACAGAGAATGTTTTCCCAGGCACCTGGGCAGAAGAAATAAATTGTCTACAAGGAGAAGAAATATCATGCTGGCCTCAGGCTTTTTCACGGCAGTAATGGATGCTTGAGAGCAACAGAGCAACGTATACGGAGTTCTGAGGGAAAGAAAGCATGGCCTGAAACTACTACACCCAAGCAAAATGGCGTTCAAGTATAGACATTCTCAGACATGGAAGAATTCATGGATTAAAACAGCTGCAGACCTTCCACAGAAACACCACTTGAAGAAATGGCACTAAGAGATTAATAAAAATAAATAACTCAGAAATGGAGAAGCTACATGTATTCAGTAAAGGTGAATGTAAAATCCACTAAACTACAGAACTACTATTATATGACTATGGATTATGGCGACAGAATAGATGGAAATTGTACCAATCAGGACAATGTAAATGACAAAGGGAAGAGGAGATGGAACCAAGTTCGAGAATGCTCATGTCTATCTTTCAAATCATGGAGGCAATAAATACATTCTTTCAAATTATATATGGTGATGCCAGTCTCTTAAATGTCTCTTCATAACCTTGAATTTACTTTAGAAGAATCTTTAGGACACAAATCTCTAGTGGTGAAAAAAATATTTGAAGTTCAAGAAGTCCAGTTTCTTTTTTTTTTTTTATAAAAATTTAAGTAAAACTACAATTAATGCTTTTAAAAATTAAAGATAGCATCTGTAATATAAGCCCATTTAATAACAGTATATCTCTAAATATGCTCATCCATTTATCCTTTTTTTTAATCTGTTCTTTTATCCACACATCTATATGCTAAGATTCCTGGAATGATGTGAATGCTGGTAGCTTTGAGGTGATGGTAGGATTTTATAAAAAACGTTTATTTATCTTTATACTTTTCTGTATTGTTTTAGTTCTTTATTATAAGCATATATTAGTTTTACAAAATCAATGGTCATTTTTCTTTAAAAATATAGGAGCAAATATATACTATGTTAACAGTGTTAGTTCTATGTAAGAATAAGGACATTTTGTCTTTTTTTTGCTTTTTGTATTTTTTCAATTTTTGAGACTATGTTTCTAAGCATTACATATGTTTATATGTACACATACATAGACACACAGATATATACATGCATATACATATTAGTAGAATAAATTAAGAGAAATAATCAGAGAAAAAAGAAGGAAGAAGGTTTAATCAATATGGCAAAAGGCAGGAAAATAAAAGACTGAGGAAGCCCCCAAAATCAGGAGGCAGCATAGGAGAGGAGATGCTTTGAGAAGCTGCTTGTTCTCAGGTTTGCTGTTTTTTAGGGAAATCAATTAACTGTGTCGTGTATTGAGTATTGCTATTTCATTATCAAGTGTTTTATTTCTCTTAGGCATTTTGGGGCACTATGCTAAGAGCTTTTCTGCATGTCATTGAATTCTAGCACAACCCCAGAAGTTAAGTATAATTATCCCGTTTCACAGATGAGAAAGGTGAGGTCCCGACAGGGCGGCAACTAGCCCAAGTAGCAGAATCAAGACTGAGTGCAGGTGGGTGTGACTTCACAACTCATGCCCAACACCATCTTCGCTCAAGCCCTCTCAGTGAGCAGGGCCAGCTGAAACCCAGTGCCTGGGCGGGGGCTGAGGTACTCACCGGGGGTCGGGTGGGCTCTGGTTCCTGCTCTCCGGGCACACATTCACCTAGGTCAGAGGACAGGAGAGAGGACTGAAGATTAGGCTCTGCGGCAATCCTAGTCCTGGATTTGTTTCTATTACAGTGCTAGGTGGGCACTGTGCCAGGGACTGTCTTATTTGTTAGCTGCTTCATAAGTGGCCCTGCCCGCATGACTTGCTCAGGGACATTCACTGGAAAAGCAACAGACTAATGGCTGCACCATCACTGCCATCTGTCCACTCCACCCCATCCCACAAGCATCATAACAAGATCAGCAACAGGTAGCATCAACTGAGCACTGACTATGCACCGTGCTGTTGCACATAATGGCTGCCTTTATCTCACTGACTCCTCACAGCAACTCAGAAGGGAGGCATTATCGCCCCCATTTTACAGATGAGGGAGGTGAGGCTCTGAGAGGTTGGCTAGCCAGCAGCCACACAGCCAAGTCTGAACCCAGGAGCTCTGACTCTAGAGCACATCCTCTGTTGCCTCCTAGGAGGTACCTACGGATTCCAGACACAACCTCCCCGAGACACGTGCCAGCGGAGTGGACACTGACTTGGTTCCAGTCCCAGCTCTGCCAGGTACGGGCTGTGAGACTTGGGGCAACTCCAGTGGCTTCCTGAAGGGGGGCTGTGGTCCCTGTTTATCTGGGAGGGTTACAGGAAAGCCCCAGGGGCTGGGGTAGTCTCTGGGGGCCGTGAAGGATGAGGAGGGGACAGAAATTCGAGGGTGGGCGGGTGCCAAGTACCTCTGTCAGCCAAGATGAAGATGGAGTCGTCAGCGATGCCCACGCCCCGGGCGACCTCTCTGAAGTCCTGCAGGAGGCTGTCCCTCAGCTGCGGCTCCCGCCCTGCAAGTGGGAGGCAGAGGAGACGCCTAGAACGCCAGGGACCCAGGCTGGCAGGGCCGGAGATGACTCTGCCCAGCGATTTGCAAATTTAGGGAAATTTGAAAACTGTTGACCCAGTGCAATCTCCTTGATACACTTCCGGAAAGACAGGCTCCCGGTGAGGAAGAGGGTCCCTCCCAGGCTCCCACCCAGGTGTCCTCACACAGAGCTCTTCCCACTGCTTCTTGTAAGGGCCTGGAGGCTCTGGAATTCTCTGGGTCTTGAATTTTAGAGATCAAAGAGAGGATTCTACCTCAAAGGGGAGACTGAACTCTACATCCTCCAGGGAGAGTCAATGCTGGCACCTTTCTCCTAATTGGAGTTTTGTCAGAAGGAAAAAGCAAGACTCCCCACCCCCGTCCACTCCCCTGTGCATAGATCAGCGGTCCCCTCCCACCCCCAGCTCTGACGGGCTCATCTCGTTACAGGACGTTACCATAGAGCTTGGCGGTGATGGAGGGCCCGTGGCGGCCGCTGAATTTCTTGGTCAGAAAAATGGCGTACTCATCATAGTTGGTGTGGACCACGTAGGACTCCATGGTTACACTCCATTCTGCATGGGGCACGCAGGCAGACCAAAGGCATCAGCGGCCCGAAGGCTCTTCCACCTGGAGATCCGTCACCTACTCACCCATCATCATTCCTCCATCCATCATCTATCCGCCCACCCCTTCCCCATAACCATTTATCGATTCGTCCATCTTCAGTCTCTCTCTCTCCCCACCCATCTGTCTCCTCCATATATTCACCATTAATTGATCCACCATCATTCTATCCATCCAGCCTCTCTATACATCCATCCACTCCCTCCCTCCCTTCTTTCCCCTGTTACTCCACCAATTTACCTATTAGGTAACTGATTAACTTGTTTATCCACATATATATCCGTTTACCAATCATTTTTGTTCAATCACTCATTTTTTGGTCCATCCATCCATCTAGCCAAACATTCATATATTCCGCCATAACACAATTATTTGGCACACAGAGCATATTCAATAAACATGTGCTGAATTAATGAATAAATTCATGTCCAAATGCCTCTCTCACTTAGCACCTTGCACACGGTACGTGGTAGATGCTCAGTCCATTTCTGTCGGCTGATTGCAGATGCCTAACAGGACATGAAGACTGGTGAGGTGGCCACCATCACTGTATTCTGGGTGTGTGTGCTGGGTTGCGGGGGAGAGTGGGAGGGAAAGGGAGAGAGGGGGAGGGAGGAGGCAGAGGAAGAAGAGGAAGGGGAGGAGAGGGAGGAGGAAGAGGAAGAAGAGGGAGAAGGAAGAGGGAGGAGGGAGAAGGAAGAGGAGAAGCTGTTGTTTAGGGGAAGGCCAGATGACATCTCAGCCAAGTGGGAGCAAAGCTTATGGAAGCAGAGAGCTGAGGGCATCCATGTATTTTGAGCAAAGTCGAGAACGCGGACGTCTCTTTGCACCCTACTTACTGGGCTTGTGATAGAGAAACTTCCCTTCGGTGCTCGTTTTCTCATAAGCCCCGGAGATCTCCTCACAGACACCTTTCCTGGAAATGAACAAACCAAAGGAAAGTAACTCCCGGTGGAGACCATAGTCCTGAGACCCTACCCTTCTGCAGGGCTCTTTCTAGCCTTGGTTGTTTTTTGGTTTTTATTTATTAATTTGGAAATTAACATTTCTAAATGTCTTGTTTGATCCTCACAGTAGCCCCGAGAGACTCCCCCTTCATCTATGCAGGAACAGAGGGACAGAGAGAAAGGCACGAAGCTATGCCGGCCCCTGGCAATGCCAGCGCTGAACCACCTTCCTTAATCAAACCTGCGCATTACACCGATGCGCGGGCAGTCGGAGTGAGGAATTAATGCCCTGATTCATTTCTTATTTGGTGTCTCTCTCGCCCCAGTTTCCCCATCTATGAAATGGGGATAATGAGAATTTCGACCTCTCGTGGTTGTCGCGAGGATCAAATGAGATACTGTATGAAAACAGCTGAGAGTAGGCACGATCCGCATACTGGCTACCGCTGCTACGGTGATTACTGTCCACCCAATGAACGTTTATTGTGCCCAGCGCTGTGCTACGTGCCCAGGACACACAGGAGAGCAAGACAGGCCTCATCCCCTTGCCGAGCTCACAGTGGCATGGGGCAGGCCGGCAGGCCAGCCAGAGGCAGATGCAAACAGTGTGACAAGTGGCACATGAAGGGAAGCACAAGGTGCTCTGAGAGCACAAGGAAGGGCATGCAATCTGAACCTGGGGGCCCAGGAGGGCTTCCTGGAGGAGGCCCAGGGCAGTAGGGGGAGGTGTTCCAAGTAGAAGGAACATCCAGGTGCAAAGGCCGGGAGGTGCGAGAAGCTGGAGGGTTTCAGGAACCAAAAGAAGATCCGCTTGGGGGCGTCTCAGAGCACAAGGGAGAGTGTGGGGCAGGGAAGGCCTGGAAGGCCACGTCAAAAGGTTTGACTCTTACTCCCAGGGCAATGGGGAGCCATGGAAGGGTCTAGAGCAGGTTTGGGTTTTCAAAAGGTCTTTCTGGTTGCTGGGTGAAGAATGGATTGGGCGAAGGTTCAAGATTAGAAGTGGGGAGAGGTCAGAGAGGAGTCCATTTCCTAGGTTGGGTCCCTGGGGGTAGAAGTGCCCATCCGAGCTAAGGATCACCCAGGCCGGAGGTGCAGGTTGCAAATCTGTGTTGGGGCACTGCCCTTGGGTGTAGACAGGACCCTAGAAAGGGCCGTCCCTGCGGAAGACAGTAGAGGGGACTGCGGCTCGGGGACAAGGTCCCAACTGGAAGCAGAGGTCTGTCACTTTCCAGGGTGGACGGGGAGGGCTGGGGCCCCGGTTCCGCTCACCGCCACTGAGTGCTGGTCATGCTGACCTCCGCCTCCGTCGCCCCCTCTGCCAGCACCAGCGTGCTCACTGCCAGCCGGTCCTTGATCTTCTTCAGCCACGGGCAGGTGGAGCCAATGGCCAGGTTGTACCACTTCCCGTAGATCTAGGAGGCAGCCACGTGGTTGGGGTTTGCCTTGGCCTTCAAAGACTTGGCTGACGTCTGGTCCCCTCCCTGACCCCCTCCTCATGACAGATCCTTCTAAGTGATAATGTCTCCTGGCCAACTGGAGGCTGTCTACCCTCAAGGGAGGACAGTGCCCTAAGCGTGGAGTTGCAGGCATCACAGCGAGCTTAAGGAGGAAGGTGGCCTGCAGAAGGCCTCACTCCACTGAGATGTGGGATCTATCGAAATCCCCATCGGCCACTGCTCCTCAAGAACTGGAGTCCTGTCTTGTACTCCTCCAGTGACGGGCTGCTCACCACCTCACAAAGGCAGCCTGCAGCCTGCATTTGGAAGTATCTCAAAAGTTCAATGAGCATGGTGGAGCCATTCAGGACAGGCCTGCTGCCTCTCCCTTTTGACAGCGCACAGGAGAGCTAAAGGAGCCCTCACGCTCCTGCAGGGCCAACACACCCTGGCCAACGTGCCATCCCAGACCGCCACAGGGCCCTGTTCCTCACTGCCCCTCCGCCCACTTCCCCATCCCTACAAGTAAACAAAATCCACACGATGCCACAGCTAGAAGGGTCTGAGAGCTCCTCACACAGACATGGAACGTGAGCCCCAGGTGGGAAGGTCCTGCCCCAGGCCACCCTGTGGTTCAGGGCAGAGCTGGGGCTGGGGGTGGCCCTGGGACCCCAAACCCACAGCACATGCCCTGCTCTGGGCTCGCCCTGGGCTCAGGGTTGTGCACTCCCCACCCCGATCTCTGTTCTGCTCTCCTTCCCATGAGCCCGCATCCCAGCCCCAAGGCCACTGGGCACACGCCCGCCCTGTGCCGCCCCAGGTCTCTGTCCACAGCCAGGACCTGAGCAGAGGACCCAGAGCTGCCAGAGAGAGGCTGCAGGGAGAGGCAGGTGGTTAAAGGATGCAGGGTGGGAGAGGGTGAGCAGGGACAGGGTGAGCAGGGTGAGCAGTGGGAGAGGGTAAGCAGGAAAGCCAGGTGCCTATGTGGCGTTCTCTGGGGTGGGTTCCCATCGAAGCAAGGACTCCCCTTGCAGCCCAGGAGGACCGTAGAATGCGACGTTTTACTCATAGAATGGCAGCCGAGAGAGTCCCCTGGAATGCCAGGTGGAGAGCTGTAGCTTCAAAGAACCCCGGAATCCCAGACGGTCTGGGCAGGAAGGGCCTTTGGGCACGGAGCACCAAAGTTCCCGATGGGGAGACTGAGACCCCGAGACAAGCCGGACTTACCCAGCAGGGCCCAGCCCTCCGGGCACCCGCCACCACAATCCCCACCGGCGAGGCCAGCCTTACCCGAGAGACATTGAAGTTTTCCTGCACTTGGATGTCGTCGGGCGGCAGGACGGGGTCAGCACTCACGGCCAGGCAGGCGGCCAGCAGCAGGAGCAGGGCCCTGGGGCTCTGCATGGCTCTGGGCTCTTCTGCCTTGGGTGTCTCTCGGGGCTGGGTCTGACAACAGAGGGGCCACCACCTCCCTGCCCAGGGCAGCTGTGAACCGAGACTGGGAATGGGCCTGTGGCTTATAGGTGACCTTGGCGTTTGCCCTCTCAGCTGGGACCAATCAGGGCCCGAAGGCCAGCTCTGATCGATCCCTGCAGCCGGCCGGGATCCGCGGGACCAAGAGGCCAGGCTGGCTGTTTTGGAGGAGGCGCTGGCCAAACACAGGAGGGCTGGGTGCGCCGGGCTGGCTCAGCCCCAGAACGGCTTCTCCCCGGCTCCTCGCCTGCCGCAGGGGCACACAGGGAGGGAGGGGACGGGCAGCACCTGGCCTTTCCCGCTGGCTCGTTCCACCTGGACCTCCCTCCCCTGTGCCTAGCAGGTTGAGCTCAGGGGGGCCCACTTCTCACATGGGCAGACCGAGGCCCAGAAAGAGGAAGTGACATACCAGAGACCACAGGGAAGTCTGCGGCAGAGCCAAGACTAGAACCCAGGCATCCTGCCCCCCGAGTTCCTTCTCTGACCCTTTGGCTTCCCCTGGCCTTTGCGAACAGTAGAGAAATAATGACGATGAGAATTACAATCACAGCTTCCACCCACCGAGCACTGGCCACGTGCCGGCTTGGCGCTAGGCACAACATACACACCGCAGGGGACTGACCTGAGTCCCCACAGCAACCTCACGAAGTACGTGCTATTTGTCCCCTTTTATAGACAGGATTGGAGTCCCCGAGGAGGGAAGTGACTTGCCCCGGTCCCTCCGCTGGGGAGTGGAGCTGCTGGGGAAGGTGGCATTTGGCAGTGGTTGGGGACGCGGACTCAGGAGCCAGACAGCCAGCTGTGGAACTCACTGCTGTGTGCCCTTGGGCAGGTCACTTTACCTCCTGGTGCCTCAGTTTCCTCCGCTGTGAATGGGGATAACGGTAGTTCCCGGTCCGTCGCGTTGCTGCGAGGGTGAAAGGAGCCAAGGCTTGCAAAGCGCTTGCTGAGAGCTGAGCGAGTCTGGAGTGGGCGGAACAGCGTCTTCTCCAAGTTCTCGTCCGCCCTGACCCACAGAGTGCGGCCTCATTGCAGATGCGGTTAGCTAGGATGAGGCTGCACCGGGTGATGAGGTTGTGCCGGGTGTCCTGCATCCAGTGACTGGTGTCCTTGTGAGAGAACAGAGAGGGGGACACACACAGAGGGGGACACAGACACGGAGACCGGAGAGCCGCACGGGGCGGACGGCGTGTGGGCCAGGGAGGAGATTGGAGGCAGGAAGCCACACGCCAGGACCGCCAGGGACGGACGAGTGGCAGCCCCCAGAGCAGCGCGAGGCGGGGAAGGACGTTTCCCTGGAGCCTCCGAAGCAAACCTGGCTCTGCTGACAGCCGGTCTCAGACGTCTGCCCTCCAGTGCCTCGAGGGAACACACTGCTGTTGTTTTAAGCCGCCTAGTTTGTGGACCTTTGCCATGGCCGCCCCGGGAAACGAATATGGCGGTCCTTAAACGTACAGTTGTAGAGGAGGATGAAACCAGTTCTGCTTGTCTCCGAAGCTCAAAGTCTCTGGCCAGATGTGGCCAGAGACACCACAGGGCCATCTCCGTGGAGTTCTCTTCTCCCGTGGTCAAGGCTGCTGTCCTTACATCCTGCTCTTGGTATGGAACATTCCAGCACACCAGCATCCCCGCCAGAGCTGGGAATGACTTCTTTAGGCAGGTGGTCCTAACGAGGCCCTGCTCACCTGAGAACCAGGCGGCGCCCCCCACATGGCCAGTGCGTGAACGAAGGGTGCGCCGTGTCCCTTCTGTAAGGTCCAGGCAGCTCAGCCCTCTTTCACCGGCACTCGGAACAAGTGCGCCTCTGTTCGTAACAAGTGAATGTGTTTCCTGCACCCCCTTATTGATGGCTTGGCCACCAGTTGTATTTTCTTCTTGCTTTGGCTGCCAGGAAGCTCAAAGCTGTGGTACACCTTGGTTTAGCTTTCTGGGATAGTTACAGTCCCACGTATTCACAAAGCTTCTTAGTCTTTTATGGTTCCGTTAATGGTGGTAGCGAGGAGGTGTTCTGAATTAAGAGGGAATGCGTGCGGCTGGGCGCGGTGGCTCACGCCTGTAATCCTAGCACTCTGGGAGGCCGAGGTGGGTGGATCGCTCAAGGTCAGGAGTTCGAAACCAGCCTGAGCAAGAGTGAGACCCCGTCTCTACTAAAAATAGAAAGAAATTAATTGGCCAACTGAAAATATATAGAAAAATTAGCAGGGCATGGTGGCACATGCCTGTAGTCCCAGCTACTCGGGAGGCTGAGGCAGTAGGATTTCTTGAGCCCAGGAGTTGCTGTGAGCCAGGCTGACGCCATGGCACTCTAGCCTGGGTAACAGAGTGAGACTCTGTCTCAAAAATAAATAAATAAAAAAAGAAAGAGGGAATGTGTAGAACTGGGAGCCAAAAGCCCTGACCTCTCCTGTTCTGCGTGCCCCTGGGACGGCTTTGGCTCTCTGAAGCTCACTTTCCTAATCTGCAAACTGAATATCTGAATATAAAAGTCCCTGTTCTGTCTGCCAAGAGGTCAAGGGAGACGATGTGTGTGGAGGTGCTGTGTAAACCGTCCGCTGCCTTACCCGTGTGATGATTCAGGGTCTCTGTCTTTGGAGAAACTAGGCCTGTTTTTTTGTTTTTTTTTAAAAAGGAATAAATAAATAATAATAAACCATTAATAGAAATAAGGTCATCCTGCTAAGATGGCTTGCGGTGTATCAAGACAGCACGTCTGACCTTCACTGTAGGTGAGTGCGATTAGGATCCTCAACCCGTGGTCCAGGTGGGAGGCCTGCGGCACACAGGGGGGAGGAAGCTCCCTGCCCAGCCCCACTTGGACAAGGCTGTGCACTCAGTCGCACGGCCTCTCCTGGGGGTGGGGAGAGGCCCAGAGGAGGGGTCCAGGGTGTCGATCTCTTCTCCTGCCCCCAGGAATGTTTGTGCTCCCGAGATTATTAACCAGAGCAAACAGCAAGTGCTGCCAAAGGCCACCTGGACTTTTGGCTGCCTTGTAAAAATTAACCCCGGGCCACAAGGATGCAAGGCCAGCAGCGGTCAGAGGGCTGCTGACCCTTCATCGCCTATGGCTGTCGGGTGGGAGGAGGAGGCTCTGCCCTCCTAGGGAGCCCTGGGCCCTAAGAGTCCACAGGCATTGGGCAGGTTCTGGAGCCATTGCAAGGGGAGGGAGATGACCTGCCCCAAGCAGGAGGCCGCAGGGCCTCAGGTGCCCCATGCAGTAGGGAACAGGGGCCTCGACTTTCAGATGCACACACTGGGGCTCAGGGAGAAAATGGGACTTGTTCAAGATTACCCAGCTCATGGCCGAGTTGGGGGCCAGGCAGTCCTGACCCCAGCGCGCAGGCGCTGCACTGATTTGTGACCGTGAGAGAGCAGTCAGGAGGGAGATCCGGGAAAGCCACTCCCTAGGAGGTTTTCCAGGAAGCAGGAAGAGGCTGGGCACTAGGACCCAGTGACTGGACCAGCAGGGAGTCAAGGGCAAGGGCCAGAACTCAGAGCAGAGGGCAAGGTCAAGGTTGGTCTTCCTCTGCTCAGGGTGGGAAGGCAGGTGACCTTCCTCCCTGACAGGAGGCCTCACCTCAGTGCCCAAGCCACAGCCTGGCCGCTCAGCGTCCCCCTGGCAAAGCTGGAGGTGGGCAGCGCCCAGGACTCCATGACCAGCTGTGCCTAGGTTTTGTCACTAACTCCTCCACCCCTGTCCCAGATAGCCAGGCCACCAGAGACTTGACCAGTAACTGTGACTTGCTGGGCCACCAAGGGGCAGTCCTTTCCCTCCCTGGCCTCAGCTTCTATGCCCAGACTTCCAAATGGGGGTCATATGCACTCACTGGACGGGACTGAAATAAGAACTGAATGAGGGGCACATGTGCAAATGCTCCCCAGGTGCACACTCTGAGGGACGCCTGTTAGACACTTGGCATCACACGCGTCACGGCGGAGGGCTCCATGCACAGCTTCAAGTGCGCTGAGAAGGCGTGAGCTTCCAGCGTCCAGCAGGGGGCAGCAGAGAACTTCCAGAAAGACCACCAGGGTGTGCACAGATTGCTGCGTGCAGACGGAGCCCGGCCATGCAACCAGGGCTAGAAGCCAGCCTTTCTTAACCCCAAGCCTGCTAGAAATCCCGAGGTGAGTGTAAAACATTCGGTCTCTGCCTTGCCCGTCCTTACCCCAGTGGGGAGCTTGATGCTTGGTTGGGGCCCTTTTTAAAAAGTAGTTCCCTGGGGGATTCCGCTGGAGACCCAGAACCACTTGCTGTAGACCACAAAGGCTACTGCACCTGAATAATCACTTTATTAAGTTCCTACTTTCTGCCAAGTCCTATTCTGACACTCTATTAGCATGTCGTACTGAGTCTTCTATTAAAGATCTTACTATGCTGGTGGCCCTATTTTGCAGACAGGGAAACTGAGGCTGAGATATCAGGTGATCAGGTGTTGAAGGTCACCCAGCCAGTGAATGGCAAATTAAACCAAGATGGCTCCTTTACACCCAAGGCACTTTGGCGACCTCCCAGACCTTGTTCCCTGATAAACAGCCGGACATTTGGGCACATACTTTCAGACACCTGGAGCTGACCGGTCTCCCTTCACTGGGACCTTCATTCCGGGAGTCAGGCTTGTGTGAGCCTATTTCTCCCTCCCTCGGCCAAGAGCATGCTCGGTGTCTGCTGCACCAAGCCCAGACCCTGTCTTCCTCCTTGGAGCCCAGCACTATGCCGGGCACATAGTAGGTGCTCATTACACAATGCCAACTGACTCAGACTATGGGGGAGAATTTAGGTCAGACCCCAAGAATGATCACCCAAGTAGAAGACAGCGGAGGGAGACTGGGAAATTGAAATCACCACGTCCAAAGTCCTTTCATAACGATCACTGAATGAGTCAGCAAACGAATGAATGACCTCACTCTGTGGCGGCTTTTCCTTCAGTCCCCAAATTCGAGTTTGTCTGTAAACTGTGTGGCTGGGAGGACCCATCACGGTGTGATACAGCTGAACTTCACCCCGAGACAGGCCTGGGGGCAGTCATGGCTGCGACCCTGTCCTGCCTACTTGATCTTAGCTAAGTGACTTCACATTTCTGAGTTTTTCCTCTGTTAATTGGGGTTAATAAGAGCTCACAGGGGTGTATGAGAATGAAATGATGAGAAGTACATCATGTTCTTGCTCCTTGGAGAGAGCTTAGCAAGGAGTAAATGTTATCCCAGGGTCAAGGTTGCCCTTAGATAATGTCAGTCCAGGTTCCCAGTTGTGGGAGCAAGCGGCTTAGCCTGGAGAGGCCGCTCAGGAAGTGAGACAAGTTGTAGCTCAGAGTGTCCTTGAGATCCGGCCGTCCCAGGGACAGAGCTTGTGGCCCGGGATCTGGCTTCCTTCCCTTCCTGCAGAAAGGGCTCCCAAAGGAATAAACTTCCAGAGGCCTCGCCTGGGCCCAGGGAAGGGGTGCGGGCATATCCTGCTCTGTGCAGGCCGGCCCCATCTGCCCGCTGAAGCCGGGCCCCACTGGGGGCCTGCCCCGACTCCTGGCTGACCGGGTGGGTGGGAACCAACATCCTTGGAAAGACTAAAATTGCTAGTTCCTGAAACCACGAGCCAAGCCGAGTCAGCTCTTTGGAAAGCCCCACTGGCCTTTCTTCAATGAAGACAAATGAATTTATCTCAATCAGCTGCCTTGAAAGGCAGTGGGAACTCTTCCCCGGCTCTTCCTCCTGGGCAACAGAGTCCTGACTGGCCGTTCCTGTCCCTGAGAGAATTCTCCTTGGAAGTGTCACCCTGCAGATGGAGCCAGCAGGGCTGGATGTCAACAAGTTCATGAGTCTATAGTAACGAGGGTCCAGTTACGGACACGATTCCTCCCCTCCAAGTACAGGAATGACAGAATGTGCTGAGGACATCCATTAGTAATAGTAATAACTAACATTTATTTAGCACTAACTGTGTGCCAGACTCTGTTCTAAACAGTTTATATGAACTCAATTTTAATCCTCACGTCACCCACTACAAGCACTTATGAACCACTCACAGGATAAATCAATTGTATCCCCACCTTACAGAAGAGGAAACCGAGGTTCAGAGAGGTTCACCACCTTGCCCAGGCTCCCGCAGCTGACAAGTTGGGCAGATGGAGGCCGAGAAAAGGGAGGGTTGGCTCAGGGTTCCGCAGCCTAGTGACCCCCCAGATCTCCTGCCTCCCCAACCAGGTCCCTGCCCACCAGACACAGGCAGGACTTCAGGGCTCCACGTCTCACTCTGTAGATTCCAGCTCAGGCTGCAGAGTTCTGCGTCGTTGGGTAGTTTGCAAATAATTCCTTTGTTTTTTAGGGTGGTGAAGTTTCCTCCATGGGGAAGAAAGAGCTTCATCAAAGTGCCTCTGCATGGTCGGGCCTTGTTGGATGTGCCAGGCTTTGGTGGAGACCCACTTCTCCTGGAAGACACCCCAACTGTGCTCGGGGGTTCCTGAGTTGGCAAGAAAGCACTCCTCTATCCGTCCTTCCTCGGTGGCCCCACTAGGTGGCACCTGGCATTGTGGCTGAGAGCACCTATTAGGGAATCAGACCACCCAGGTACGAATCCCACTTCTGCCACCTGCTGGCCCTGTGACCTTGGGCGAGTTCCTGAACCCCTTCCTGCCTTGGTTTACTCCCTGTAAAATAATAATATGAATAGTATCTGCTCCTCAGAATCATTGTGGGAAAGGAGACAGTTAATACAGTGGCTGGGAGCAGTGCAGTGCTTGGCACCAGATAAATTTGCTAACTCTTATTGTCATTCCATCCCATGGTGATTGCCCTTTGCTTGCCTTCCCCTCCACTTGGCTGGAAGCCCCTTGAGAGCAGGGCAGTGACTGATCCAGGGCCAGGGTAGTGTCGCTCGCACCCAGCAGAGGAACCCTGGTCTTCGACTGGGGACTCAGGAAACGTGTGCTAAGTGGGAGATCACGTGACAGTTCTGGAGGAAGACACCTCTGCCTGACTTTCAAAGGTCTTCCTTGGTAGCCGGCCAGTGTGGATGTCAGTCATGGCCGGGGACCTGTCCGGCACACGCAGCAGAGCTGTGGCAGAACAGGCTTTGAACCCAGGTCTCCTGACTCCAGTCCTGGTCCCCATCTCGGCAGTAACCTGTCTGCAAGCTCCAGTAGCAGCTGCTGGGCTCACAGCAGGCCCCTGCCTCCCTGCCCGAGCCTCCCCACCACGCCTGCTCGCCGCAGATACGGGCCGACGAGTCCTTGGGAGCTCCATAAGAAGACAACAACATAGAAATGGAAAAAGTCATTGAGGAGGACACAAACTACCCCACAAAGGGGCTGAGACCAACCACAAAGGGGCTGAAATCAGATGTCGATGGGGGCGAATGTGTCGCTGGCAAGGAGGAGACAGACCCCGAGGGGGAGAAGCAGGGCCCGCCTGGGCGCTGAGAGATAGCCGTGCGGCGGGGCAGCGAGATGTTCTTGGCAATGGGGGCTCCATAGACTCTCATCATGACGCCAACTCTTGCAGTCTTTTCAGGGTTGCCTTCCCCAACAGATGGGACCTCGCAGCCTTTTCAGCACCAGGACCCACAGGAGTTCTCTTCCTGGAGCTCGTGCCGTCCTGCAGCCATGCACCCTACCGCGCCCGCCCCCCCATTCCGCATGTAGAATGGGCTGAGAGTTGGGGTCCCCAGGGGTCTGGACATCCAGGTCGCTCAAGAGACGCCAGCATTCTAGCAACTCACGGGTGGCCATCAAAGATCGGGTGAATGTTCCCTCCCCCCGGCATGCCCGCCCAGGCAGAGATTCCAGAGACTCCCTCCCTCCCAACTTCTCACCATGTTCTAAATTTTCAGAGAGATCTTCTGGGGGTTTGGAATTCTGGGAAATCCCTACAGTGCTTCAGGATTTCCAAGAGCACCCCCCATTGCTAATGTTTTAAGGTGGCAGAGACCTTCTTTTTAATTCGACAGTTCTTAAGAACTACTGCTATGTTTCAGTGGGCCAGAGAACTGTCCCAAGTTCCAGCCATCTTCGTTTAGGCCTGCAGCTTTCAGGATCCCAGAAGTGCCCTCCTGAGCCTGCAGGCTCTTGGTAAGAACCAGATGGATTTCAAGAGTCTCGCTACATTCCTGGGGACCTATGGAATCCCCCCAGGGCTCAGGGATCCTAGAAGCGGTAGTTCTAGAGTGAGGATGCTGATTGAGAGATGGACACATGGCGGGTGGGGGGAGTGGAGGCCAAACCCCTTGAATCTCGTGTCTATGTCTGGAAAACGATGTGAGGTTTTTGCTGAGCTGAAGCACAAGCTGGAACTAGGAAACTTGGAAAATCGTGGCTGGCTCCAGCGGGAATCGTCCAGACACAAATGAACCAGCCACGGCCAGGGTCCCCCTGGGTGGTCCCCATCCATGCTCCCAAGGCGGCCAAGGAAAGCTCCCACGCTCAGTGCCAGGGGCCTCCGCTGCCCCAGGCTGGGACCTCCCAGCGTGCAGGGCCAGTGAGATAAGGCTTCTGGGGCGTGCAGGGGAGCCCAAGCACAAACCTGCAGAGCCAGCCAAGCTGACGTGGCACCAAAACGACCAATCTTAGAAAAAAGGGGCTTTATGGCATTAATGAGGCTCCCCCTGCCCCTCAGGTCTCTGCACAAACGTCACCTGCAGGAGGCCTTTCCAGGGCTCCCTGTGGAGGGCTGCACCCCCGCCCTGGCAGAGCGCCACCCTCCTGCTCGCTCTTAACCCACAACATTTATCACCATCTGACGGGCCATGTATGTGGCCCTCTCTCTTGTTTATTGTCTCTGTTCCGTGAGGGTAAAGACTCTCACGCTTCATTCGGTGCAAGTCCAAAGTAGGTTCTCAGTCAATATTTGTCGCATAATTATTTTTTGAGCCCGTATTGTCAATTCCATCAAAGTGTCACATTGCCTACAAGTTGCTTTCGGCTGAATTGGCTGCAACCAGCAAAGCCGTTTGCATACTCTTTCCGCATGTCAGGGAATTGAATCCGCGCAGCAGCTTTGTAAGGGGGTACTAGTATTGTGCCCACTCTGGACATGAGGTGACTTGGGCTCAGAGCAGTTAAGTCGCTTTGCCAGGATCGCTCATGCATTAGTGATGACGCCAGGATTCGACCTGGGAAGCTCAGTCTGTGGGCTAAACCACAGCCCGCTCTGCCCGGCCCAGCGGCCTGTGGTGTCTGGCCGTCACCCTAGGTCCCTGCCTCTGCCTCCACAGACCCTGGCCTTCCAGGAAGCTGCCACTGCCGGACACCCTCACGCCCAGTCACAAGTCTTGCCGCTCGGCTCCCGGCCACGTGGGGCACTAACCTGGGCTGTCCCTGCCAGTCCCAGCTTCAGGGACCGTCCCTGCTCAGACTCAGGAGTCAGGGGCTTTCCACGGAGGAGGCCCAGAGAGGCCCTGCAGTCTGTCCCAAGTCACACAGCACACTCAAGCGACCTGGGGACACCTTGCTTTTATTTTGGGGTCCTCACTGCCCTGGGGGAAAGGGGGCACATTCCCACAGCTACGTTCCGAAACGATGGGCAGGCCCTCTGAGCACAGTGGCCCTCTGAGCACTGTTCCAGATGACAGCTACGGCTTCCCTCCAGCACGCCAGCCCCTCAGCACTCCCCAGCTGCTCCCTGGCTGGCCCTCTGGCCTCGGCCTGCTCCTCCCTCAGGGCTCCCCAAGCCTGTGGCGAGGCCGCCTGCCTGGGCCCAGGGTCAGGCCTCGGGGCACGCCCAGCCCAAGGCCTGGTTCAGGTGCTGCTGGCTGTGGCCTCTCGTCCCCTCTCTGCGCTAGGGGTCCCTGCCTTTACTGTCTCTGCCTCCAGCTCACCTCTGCCAGTCAGGCCACCTCCCACAAGTGGCCAGTGTGATCTAAATACCAATCTAGGCTGGCGGCGATGCCTTAAGAACCTTCCTCAGCTGCCTTTTGCCTTTGGCAGAAGCAGGCACTCTGGAGGGGCTGGACGGCCCTGTACTCCCTGCCCAGACAGCTCTGGCAGCTCAGGGCTCTCCAGGCTTTGTCTCCACCGCCCCACCCACCTTCCCGGGACCGAGTCTGCCCACCCTCCAAGGCTTAGCCACGGCTTCCTTGGCAAAGCTTCTCTGACCCCTCCACAGTCACGGATGGGGTGACCCTCCTCCGTGCCTCTGGGCTCCCCCCGCAAAGCCCAAGTGAGGTTGTAAACGTCTGTCCCCACAGATGGTGAGCACCCCGGGCAAAGCCCGCGTGGCCCCTGCTGGTCTCATCTGCCGCCTTACTGCTTGATTTGCAGCTGATGCAAGTGGTGCGTGTTGAAGGAAGGAAAGAAGTGGGCCTCAGGTTCCCTAACTGTGCATGGGCGCGTTAGGTCAGCCTCTTTCTCCCACCCCAAGTTCCTCACGTCGCGCCTGGACTTCTCCATCGCGGCCGACCGGCTGTGTCCTGTGGGCACCTATGCCGGGAATCATCGCAGCCCTCACACCATGGCCTCCGCTAGAGTGTGACAGGACAGGGAGCCACGCCTGCCGTTTGACTGACTGAAGACCAGAAGGTGGTCCCAGGCCTCCGGAGCCCCAGCACCAGGACACACGTGACAGAGTGAGCCCCTCCACCTCCTTCATGGAGACACTCGTCACTCGCCACCCCCGGGGCACGCGGCAGTTGCTCAATCAAAGCTTGTGCAACCCACGAAAGGAGACGGGGCTGGGACACTGCAGACCGGTGGGACGCACGCCTGAGCCGTCCCAGCCCTCCTCGCTCGGGTTCCCCAGGGGGAAGCGGCTGATACTCCAGAGGACAGAACCAACCAGACCCGGAGCTGAAGCCTCTGTTTATTCACATATTCCACCACCGGCTGTCGGGCTTCTCCCGAATGCAGTCCCGCGTCTCGTGGTCTGGGGCACACCCCCCCTTGCTCCCCCAAAGCTGCAATCCCATGCAGTAGGTGGGGAGACCGGGCGCCAGGCGCAGAGCCCGTCCGAGGTCACGCGGCAGTCTTCCGGGTGTCCACTCTGCCTTCAGCAGGGAGCCCCGGCCTGGCCCGGCTCCGTGCGCCCTCGCGGTGGGGCGGCTGGCTCCGGCCCCGTCGCAGGGAGCTGCCGATCTGCTCTCTGAGGGCCTCCAGCCGCTGGGCCAGGTTTTGGACCCCAGCCCCACCTAAGGGCAGTGAGACTCGAGGCCTGCCTTTCCTTGGACCTTCCCCACCCAGGTTGATCTGGGTCCCAACATCCTCTAGAGAAGCCTTGGGGGGTAGGTACCCTCCACCCTTTCCCCCACCCCCACCCTGGGCCCCGATGCACAGCTGGGCATGTGGGTGGTCCTAGAAAAAGAATTCCACATTTGGGAACCAGGAAGATTTTAGAAATCACCTCTCAACACCCACCCCATTTCAGAGGTGGGAAGACTGAGGCCCAGAGAGGATGGGTTCTGGCTCAAGATCACAGAGGACACTAGGGGCCCTGCCCCCTCTCCCTTCTTCACCTCTCAGCACTGGGGACGTGTTTGGAGGCCCCGTGGGCAGGGGGGGTGCAGAGGGTACCACCTCCTCCTCCTCGGTCAGCATCTCTGCCAGGACTCGGGTCTGAGTCCAGTCGCTGTGACTCCTGGCCAGGGTGAGTTGGGTGGTGGGGAACGATTATTTGCGGTCCCAGGCCTCCTCCTCCCCCACCCCAGTGCCCCAGGGCTGGGCCCACCTCTCTCTTGGGCACCTGGCAGAGCCAGGGCTGCACGGGGGTGCCCAGGGTGGGGGCCGGGCCGACAGGGGCCTGCTGCCTGGGGCCTCAGGGCCCAACACCTGCAGGAAGAGCCAGAGCCCACGCTGGTGACCCAGCCCTGTCTCTCTGTGTCCCACGTCCCCGGTGCCGGCTGTAAGCCCGGCTGTGCCTGCCCCACAGGCTGCCAAGGATGTCAGGTGGGCATAAAGGAGCGGGGTCTTGATCGCTTTCTTCTGTGGGCAGCAGGTGGTCCTCGTAATGTCCTCTCCTGAGACTAGGAGAGCCCTGAGGGCGGGAACCACGTCTGGTCTAGTTCTGAACCCTCAGAGCCCAGAACGGAGGTGAGCACAAAGCCAGAGCTCGCGGGAGAGTGACTGGAGGAGTGGATATATAAACGGGTAAACATGTAAGTGAATGAAAGAATGGTGAATGACAGAGTAAGTTCCTGAAAGAAGGCAGGGTGGGGAGGAGGGAGGGCGAGGCATATCGCTGTTCCTACCCCAGGGAGAGGGGCCCGCAGCTGGCCATTCCCTCCCTGGGGTCCAGCCTGGATCCCTGGAATCCCCTGGCCCAGAGCCCCCTGGATCACTGACTCCTAGACCCCGGTCTCCAGTTCTCCCGCCGTCCCTCCTCTCCAGCTGGGCCTTCGCTACCTGCTGCAGGTGGCGCTCCCTCCAGGGGCAGGCCCAGTGCGCCAGGGGCGCTCGGCACAGCGGGCAGAGGTGGCGGCAGGGGCAGGAGCAGAGGGGTGGCAGTGCCTGCAAGAGGGCGAGTCAGAGGCTCCATGACGTCCCCACCTATCACTCCTCCACGTTGGACAGCGAGACTCACATGGCAGGAGGGAGCTGGTACCACCCAGCAGGGACACGGTGGGGCTGGCCCCAGGCCCGGCTGATGGTGGTGGCAGGCAGAGAGGCGCCTAGAAAAAGCAGAAGTTAAATGACTTGCCCAAGGTGACACGGCTAGTAGGTGGCAGAGCTGGAAATGGAGCCCAGGTGGTCTGGACGCAGAGGTCAGACCCCTGTCCCCAGGCCTGGCTCCAGGCTGGTGGCCGTGCTCACCTCTCTAGCTCGTGGACCTGCTGGGCCAGGACCCGCTGCTCGTTCCGGGCCAGGTCTCGGCTACTCTGCAGGTGGCTCTTTTCTTTCCTGGGGGAGAGCAGGCCCCAGGGAGGGGACAGGAGGTGGGGCTGGTGCGGGTGTCAGTCAGCCTCTCCTCACTGCAGCATAGCACCAGCCCCAGGAGTCAGGTGGGGACAGAGCAGAGCCGAGGACCAGAGAGGGGCGGCAGCTTGGCAGAAGCAGCGTAGCAGTGAGGGGTGGGGCAGAGTCCCCCTGGCCGTGGGCTGGGACCTACCTGAGCCTCTCGTTCTCCAGCATGAACTCCTGCAGCATCCCGTAGAGGTTCCGCTGGGCCCAGGCCATCTGGGAGCCACTGAGCCCGGAGGCTGCAGGGAAGCAGGAGGTGGCTGGATCCACAGGAGCCCCAGGCCCTATCCCCATCCTGCTCCACCCCCGAAGAGCTCAGACCCTTGCGTTTCATTTGGTCCAGCTGGAACTGCAGGCGACGGTTCTCCTCCTGGAGCTGCAGCACGTCAGTCTCCAAGTGCTGGGGCTGCTTTGCCACAGGGGACTGCAGAGAGAGACCCAGAGCTGCCCTTTATGGCTGTATGAGTTGTGCACTGCACAAGGCCTTCCAGGTGTGGGAAGTGAGTGAAACCTAAAGTCAAGCTTCACTTCTGGCCTCTTGGCACAAGGCTGCGTCTACCTGGAAGGGGCACCTTGTCCCAACTGCACCATCCCGAAGGGCCCCACTCTGAGCTGGAGAGCTGGACTCAGCTCTAGGTTCAAGTCCAAACTGAGTTCTGCCCAAACCTTGGCCCAGAGTCGGACCCCAAACAAGACCCCGTATCGGACCCCCAACTCAGCTCACAACTGAGCCACGGCACCAGCTGGGGCCCTGGCTATACCCCGTCTGTATCCCAGCTTAGACTCCAACCCAACTCCTGCTCTGACCCTGACCAGGACCCTGGTCCCACCCCGCCCAACCATGACACCATTTCCAGGATTTCAACCCTAATCCCAACTCTGACCCTGTCCCACACTCTGATCACGGTGTCACCTTGGGCTTCAACCACTGCCTGACCCCCACTATCTGCCCTGCCTGTCCCTTGCCCGTGCCCCTCCAGTCACCTTGGGGGCCTGCGGCCGGGTGGTGACTCGCTGAGCTCGGCTCGCGTATCGCAGGGTGCTGAGAGTCTCGGGGAGACACTGGGCTGAGGGGGACACGCAGGCCACCTGGGGAGGGCTCCCCTGAGTGCTGCTCTCCCGGGGCCCCTCCTCAGGACCCAGCCTTCCCCGCCACTCTCCCCCTTGGGTACCATGAGGGTGACCCCACGCCCCCCCAGGGAGTCCGCCAGCAACTTGGTGAGCTTGCTGTCCCTGAAAGGGATGTGGCTCTGCTTCCGCTGGGGGTCCAGCAGCAGGGAGATGCAGTGACCTGGGTGGGGAGAGCAAGGCCCAGAAAGGTCACGCCACTTGCCCAAGGCCACCCGGCTGCAGAGCCGGGATCTCCACCCAGGCCTGCGTGAGTCTACAAACCCGTCTTCCCACGTGCTCTCATTACCCAGATTGGTCTCCACCACACTCTGGGGCTCCTTGAGGGCAGAGATGGCCCGTCACCCCTGATCCCCAAAAGGGCCTGGGACGCAGCAGGGGCTCAGGAAATTTCCAGTGAATGGACTGAACGAAAAGGAGTTTCAGGAGCATCTCCCTGCACACCGCTGGGGAATGTGAGGTCCCGGCCCTTAGGGATCTCAAAGTCCAATAACCTGGGGTGGGGGAGAGGAGAGAGGCCCCTTCCTGGGTCTCGGTCTTCCCAACAGCACAAGGGACAGGTCGAATGTTTCTGAGTTGAGTGTTTCTACCTCCCAAATTAGAATGTAACTTTATAGGCCCTTCGAATGTATAGGTTCTTATAGTCCCTGTTCTGAGACGGGAGAGTCAAAAACAGAGCTGGGCCTCTGGCTCTTGGGTCACAGCTCTTTCACCGTGTCTATGCCCTACAACTCCTCTGGTATCCCCGCTGTGGACAGCTGTGGGCCCGGAGCCGGGGAGGGACACAGGAATGGGAGCAGCTGGCCCCAGGTCTCACCCAGGGCCAGCAGGCTGCGGTTGATGCTGTTGGCCTCGAGCATCAGCTCCCCACGGGATCCTGTGGCTGCCACCTTTTCGCTGCCGGCCAGGTCTACAAAGCACAGCTTCCCGCCGACGGGGGGCTCCCCGGGGCCCACAGGAGGCATCTGCTGGGACTGGGGGATCGGGGTATCATGGGGACTTGGGAGGGATGGTGCCCATCAAAGTCACAAGGACACGAGGCCAAGGGTTTCCACTATCAGCCCCCATGCACGCTCAAGTCGGTTTATATGTCCAGACGCAGACCCTTGCTGCGCGGCTACCCTTGCTGCGCGGCCCGGGGCCAGCTGCTTCTCCGGGCCGGGGCACTCACGGTTTGGCAGCCAATGTAGAGGGTGAGCAGGGCATGGCTCCGGCTGGAGGCCTGGTTCAGGGTGTGAGCCGAGCTCCTTCGACGGCTAAGACCTGGAGGGGAAAAACATCAGGAGCGGGACCCGGTAGGAGAACCAGGGAAGAAAAACTCGCAAAGGAATCTGGAAGACAGAGGGGACAGCCTGCGCAAAGGCAGAGAGGCAGGACAGGGGGCGCTGGGTCAGGGAATGACGGAATGTTGGCGCTGGCTCTAGCACAGATAGGTGAAAAGGGGATGCGGAGGATCGAACAGAAGAATGACAGATTTGCATTTTATAAGCACTCTCCTATTGCTGTGTGCAGGGAGGCGGAGAAACTGAGGCAGAGAGATCGGCTGAGAGGTGTGGCACAGCATCCCAGGTGCCTGCCAGAAGACGGGTGCCCATAAATATTTGATGAAAAAATGAATGAGACTGGAACGGAAGCGTCTTACAGGCTAGGCTAAGAGGTC